GTGGTACTCATAGAGTTAACTGTACCCTGGGAAGATAGGATGGAGGAGGCGCATGAGCGCAAGCTCAAAAAATATCAAGGCCTTATCCTTGAGAGCCAGCAAAAAGGATGGAAGGCCTGGAATCTACCAGTAGAGGTCGGCTGCAGAGGTTTTGCGGGACAGTCACTCTGGAGAGCACTCGGAGTGCTGGGGATTGAAGGGATGGCCAGGAAACGGCTAATAGGCAGTGTCACTGAACAGGCGGAAGCAGCATCAAATTGGATCTGGATACAGCGGGAGGTGCGGTGGCAGAGCAAACCTGTTGAAGGACTAAAAACACCGTAGAGTTGGGTGGTGGTCAGCGGGGTAGATCCAGGACGCTGGATCTGCTGTCGAGCCCTCCCGAGGTGTTATGGGCTTAAATCGACGAAACACCAAGGAAGGGGGGTGCCCATCTGATGACCGGCTGTAACCACCTAACTCTTGCAGTGTTGAGAGATGTAGACCTGAGCTGGCCCTGGGAGAAGGTTGGTGCTTGGAAGGAGAGGAGAGAGCGATGCCACTGGCTCACAGATGGGGCAGGGCAGAGTACCTGTAAAGGTGGGCCAGTTGCGATGATCACATCGTTTTTGCATATCTTTCATTTTGATTTAATGGTGACTTGAGTTTGCATATAGATGAACATATCTCTGATTTGGTCATCCAAGATGGCTTCACACATGACCTGGGCCACAACATCAGGATCCTCAAAAACATAATTGTTCTTAGTCCATCCTTCAAGAGCATGAAGGGGTCTGGAAAGACACTGCATTGATCTCCAGCAGAACCACATCTTTCAGTTCCCGCAGACACATTGGAGGGCCTTTTTTGTTGCTCTTTCCTTGATTTAAACAGACAATGGTACACATTCATGCAGACGACAAATCAAAGGTCAGCTGTTACATGCAGCTGAGCCACACAGCATTTAATAGAGCTCTGTCTATAACCGATTGTGACTCACAAATGCTCTCGCCATGATGCTTGGATGTGGATTGTTGCTTCGTACAGTAGCTTTGAGGATCATTCATGTCTAAAGGGCAGGAAGTGCTGCTGCTAGTGGACTGACGGATTTGACTGGGGAAATCTTGAAAATTAAACTGCAAACTGTTTCATCGATGTCAAAATGGTTATGACATACAGTACTGGAATAGGATCTGATCGTGGGGTTTTGATAGTGTGAGATTGTAATGATGATTTACTAAAACAAGTCAGTCAATTAGCTTTAAATGATTACAAAAGAAGTTGATTGTTTCTAAATTAGGTTTTTATACGTATATTCAAGAGTTTTGGGTCAGTAAGACTTCATTTTTTGGGAAAGAAATTAATAATGTTATTCAGCTAGCATGCGTTAAATTGATCCAATGTGAGAGTGAATACGTTTATAATGTTACAAAAGATTTCTATTTAAAATAAATACTGTTCTTTTTGGGGGAAAAAAGTTCTTCACAAAAATATTAAGCAGCACAAATGTTATCAACATTAATAATAAGAACAAATGTTTCTTGAGTATATTACAATGATTTCTTAAGGATCATGTGACACTGGTGGGATGATGACAGCTCTGTCATCAAGGAAACAGTGTGTGCTCTTTGACACCAATCTTTCATTTAAAAGTCACGTTTCTAGTATCTGTAAAACCACATTCTTCCATCGTAAAAATATCTAAATTATGTCTTAAGCTCAATGACAAATGCGGAAACAATTAGTTCATGCAGCTTCAAGGCTAGATTGGAGGTCATGTAGCCCTCAAGGCTAGATTATTGTAATGCTCTTACGTCTATTGAGAACCAGAAAGTATGACCATACTAGCCCGGTTCTGTCAACCCTGCATTGGCTATCTATTAAACATCGGTAATTTTTTAAAAATATTGCTGATTACTTATAAAGCACTAAATGGTTTAGCTCTGCAGTACTTGAGCGAGCTCTTAACGCATTATAGTCCTTCACGTCTACTGCGATCTCAAAACTTTGGCCAGTTGATAATATCTAGAATATCTAAATCGACTGCTGGTGGTAGATCCTTTTCCTATTTAGCACCAAAACTCTGGAACAATCTTCCTAACACTGTCCGGGAAGCAGACACAATCCGTCAGTTCAAATCTAGACTAAAAACACATCTCTTTGGCCTAGCATACACATAACACACTATAGACTTCTATAATTCAATGTTAGGCTGCATATATCAGGTCAGCCAGAACCGGGAACACGTCCCATAAATCCTGATGTACTTGTTCATAAGAAGAATGGCATCTATGCTTATATAGTCTCTCTGTTCATCCCGAGGTTTACCGCAGTCCCCCGGATCCAGGCCGTATCCGGATCTAATGAAGGACCTGCGCCTGGACACGACGACAACGCAGTCCTGAAGTGTCAACTAGTCTCTCTCCTGCGAAGACCTCCTTCCCTTTACCTCTGTACAGATATAGAACGTTGTCAAAATAGGTCCGCTTCACATCGCTACTCGGAAGCAATAAATAATTCTGTGTCATACATTTTTAAGGCCTGAAAAGGGATTTTTGTAGGTTTGTAAAGAAAGACACCTGTGCACAAATTCAAATGTGCAAACCTATAGACTGAAAATGTAATACAAATGTGCACGCCGTCAGTGTGTTTTCACAGGTTTATACAGGATTATTAGGAACACCATACTAATACTGTTTGAACCCCTTTCGCCTTCAGAACTGCCTTAATTCTACGTGACATTGATTCAACAAGGTGCTGAAAGCATTCTTTAGAAATGTTGGCCCATATCGATAGGATAGCATCTTGCAGTTGATGGAGATTTGTGGGATGCACATCCAGGGCACGAAGCTCCCGTTCCTCCACATCCCAAAGATGCTCTATTGGGTTGAGATCTGGTGACTGTGGGGGGCATTTTAGTACAGTGAACTCATTGTCATGTTCAAGAAACCAATTTGAAATGATTCGAGCTTTGTGACATGGTGCATTATCCTGCTGGAAGTAGCCATCAGAGGATGGGTACATGGTGGCCATAAAGGGATGGAAATGGTCAGAAACAATGCTCAGGTAGGCTGTGGCATTTAAACAATGCCCAATTGGCACTGAGGGGCCTAAAGTGTGCCAAGAAAACATCCCCACACCATTACATCACCACCACCAGCCTGCACAGTGCTAACAAGTCATGATGGATCCATGTTTTCATTCTGTTTACGCCAAATTCTGACTCTACCATCTGAATATCTCAACAGAAATCGAGACTCATCAGACCAGGCAACATTTTTCCAGTCTTCAACTGTCCAATTTTGGTGAGCTCTTGCAAATTGTAGCCTCTTTTTTCTATTTGTAGTGGAGATGAGTGGTACCCGGTTGGGTCTTCTGCTGTTCATCTGGTCATCCGCCTCAAGGTTGTGCGTGTTATGGCTTCACAAATGCTTTGCTGCATACCTCGGTTGTAACGAGTGGTTATTTCAGTCAAAGTTGCTCTTCTATCAGCTTGAATCAGTCGGCCCATTCTCCTCTGACCTCTAGCATCAACAAGGCATTTGCACCCACAGTACTGCCGCATACTGGATGTTTTTCCCTTTTCACACCATTCTTTGTAAACCCTAGAAATGGTTGAGTGTGAAAATCCCAGTAACTGAGCAGATTGTGAAATACTCAGATTGGCCCGTCTGGCACCAACAACCATGCCACTCTCAAAATTGCTTAAATCACCTTTCTTTCCCATTCTGACATTCAGTTTGGAGTTCAGGAGATTGTTTTGACCAGGACCACACCCCTAAATGCATTGAAGCATTGAAGCGTTGAAGACTGCCATGTCATTGGTTGATTAGATAATGGAATTAATGAGAAATTGAGCAGGTGTTCCTAATAATACTTTAGGTGAGATATGAGTATAATATATATATATATATATATATATATATATATATATAAATTATATATATAAGGATTGTACCTTGGAACCTATTTCATGTTAGCGGCCTAAGTTAATAATGATCTTTGCAACGGAAGTGAACAGACTTTTAGCTGCACAATAACTTTATTCTAGAGCTGATGCAAGGCCAAAGCAATCTCTGTTACTTTAATTTTCAATTGTCACTATAAAGCTGCTTTGTATTTGTCCTGATAAATTCAGATGGATGGATGGACAGATAGCAAGGTTAAGAGTTAAAACAACAGGCAATATAACGAATAGCATTAAGTACAATGATAAATGATTGTGATATGACAGTTATAATCATAAATAGTCGTTATCAGCAAAATCAACTAATACTCAACCTGAAGTTCCTTGACCTTTACTTACTCAGGATCCAACAAATGTGCAGTTGTCCTCCTATTGTGCCTGACTTTTATAAATACAGTTCCATTGAGAGTACTTAAGTTTGAGACTTAAGTTTATCTTTATCTTAGAGATGACATACTGATGTTGATAAAAGATCAACAAGTGTTCTAGAGTAAGCAGTTGTGCTGTATATAGTCAACCTGTCATGACAAACCCCTAAGGCTAAGAGTGAGCTGATGTGAAACATCAATGGTCCAAAATAAAATAGCGTACATGTAAAAAGCTTGAGAGTCCTTACATTTGGATTGGCTTCACTTGAACACATGAATGTAGTGCGAGTTAATGGCCCGTTTATGGAGTCTAACTACATCTGGTTGAATTCTTCTTCTTCTAAAGTGTCTCATAATGACATTTAGACCATTTCCACTTTGTAATATGTACTTAGAGACACAGAAATGACTGGAATAATAATAATAAATTAATGTAGTCTGTTGAGTATTGCTGACAGCTGATTTTATTCATGAAAAGTCATGGTTTCGACATGTACACACTTCATTCTACTGTAAAACATTCATATTATCTCCACATCGTCACTGTTTTAGTGCAACACAATTCATTCCAGAAAAGCTTGATTTAGTTTCACATTAAAGGGTTGCTCGGCATGACTGAAAGAGTAGTAAACACACACACACACACACAAATGAAATAATATAAAACCTTTTTCACAACAACACACTGAGTCTGAATTCTTTATTGGGTTTTAGTTTTCGCACCGTAATATATTTGAAACTAGAAGCTTGAACAATTTGAATAACCCAAAAACAAATAATATACAAATTGGATAGAAGAAAAACCCCAATGTTAGCATTTATGCAAAGTGATGAAAAACAAAAGAATTTGCACTGAATTAGTACTGCAATAAAAACGAAGCAAACAGCTATTTACTGTATAATCCAATGTGATAGAAGGTCAAAGGGTGTTTACTTGCTGTGTGTGGACAGATGATGTCACGATATGGACTGCGCTAAAAACAATGAGAACATTACTGCAGCTTTCCCACAGCTTTTGGATTTACATGCCTTTTCCTGTTGTCTGTGATCACTGGATAAGCAGTTCTAAAATTACTTTATGGAAATTTTACCACAAAGAGCATTTTCTAATGTTCAAATTCATATTCATTTTTTTTTTCATGAATGTGGGACCCTGATGCTGTTTTCATTCCACTTTGTTTCACAAGTTGTAGGTTTGTTTGCTGTAAATGTGAATATGATTTTTTGTGTGTGTGTGGATGTGAATCACTCACTCATCCATTAGATAAATTAACAACTAAACAAAACAAATAAAAAATAAATCAAGCACTGATTCTGTGACTATGTTCACCAAACAGGATGCAAACTGTTCAAAAAATAAATCCAAAAAAATACAAACTATGTAAATCAAATAAAAGAATATTATTTTTAGACAAATCTCCATGAACATGTTCTGCTTTAGATTCATAGATGATTTAGATCAAAACAAGACATTTTTCAAATGACCAAAGATAGTGATAATCATTCAACCATAAAGTTACTCTCATAAGCGAATCTTTCAGCAAAAAACATTCAAAATAATATACTATAGATTCTCATAAACATTCAACGCAGCAGCTAACGTATGTTTGATAACATATATTCTAGTCCCCTCAGGAAAAAAAAAAAAAATGGCACTTCTCTGAGACATCTCCATTCTGATCATGCATTACAAGATCACTAGTTTCCAGGCACATCTCGAATCAGCCGATCTCTGCATAAACAACTTTGGATTGTTCATCCTCTTGCATTCACAAGGACTGAGTTTTCTCTGGAAACCAATGGTGCTGCCGATACGCTATGAAGAGGAATTTGTACCGATGCATGCTGTATGCTACCGTACGCACTGAAATCTGCGATATATAATACATTCCTGGTGTTGAACGCAAAGACTTCAACATATCAAAAGTGTCAGTGAAAACCAAACCACATGTGTGCTTTAATGAACTGGGAATTCTTGCAAAAATGTCACTCCCAAAAGCTGAGGCCTTTCAATATTACAATAAAGTCAATCCACTTTAGATTAGATCACATTAGTAAAAGCATCTTGTTTGAGACCATGATTTCAGTCGATATAGTTTTCATATATACTGATATAACAACTGGCAGTAATAAAAGTATTACTTACGCCATAAAAACTAGTTCAAAAAAAAGATATACACCATTTTCCACAAATCTCAAGGCCCTGGTTCACAATTGGAAGACACCACCAAAAATACACATTAACATGACATTTTTTTTTTTTTTTTTTTTTGCGTCGAGTGATGGACTAGTCTTCTTGATTGAGTCACTCTTCTCAACCAGGATGGGTCCTAGTTCCTGACTACTAGCCAGAGATGCAATGCTGAGACCTGCTAAAATAGGTTTGTCAAAAAGTCATAGCAAAGAAGTGTAGGACGGGAGGAGCTTAAAGTAAGGACGACGTCCTGAACAATAAACACAACTGCACTGTGCATGCTGGCCACAGCTAACGGATGGTAATGCACTGAAATCCATTACGCTTTTGGACATGTGTGTGTGTGTGTGTGTGTTTCAGGTGGTATAAACTCTGAAGATTCTGTGCTTTATCTGCGTACACACACCGCACATTTAGCGGCCCACCAAGGGCTGGGATGTCCTGAGGCTGTGTCTCTCTCTGTCCTCATCCTGGAGAACCCAGGAGCCGTCTTGTCATCTCTCTGGAGGACGTCCAGTGGTGGAGCTCACTGAGAGATGGGCGCTGCAGGGGTGGACGGGGATTGTGGAGTGCTCTGGTAGGAACGCAGAAGGACTTTGTGCTTTGTTACCACCTCTGCCCTGACCTTCTGCTGCTGCTCCAGGAACTCCTTGAGGCGTGTGGTGGTAAATGTGAGAGTCTGTCTCCGCAGTCTCATTAGATAAGCGTCCTGCAGCCAGGAGTTGTTAAAGCAGTCCTTAATGGTAGGACGGGCCCTGAAACACAGACAAAAACAGGAATCAGTCAACATCAAAGACACATAGCCTGGCCTATCCTGAAAGCAAGAGCTGTGTCCCAAATGACGCATTATACACTATGTAGTCAGCCGTGTAGTGTATGAACTTTATACGTTTATTTTGTCTATTAAAGCGTTGAAACAATATTAAATCTGCGATAGTTGAGTGCATGGAGTGTCCAACGTCCCACACTTTGTTTTTTCAGTTAAATAAGTGCATCATCCAGCTAATTAAAGTGCACTTTTTCTTTTTAATTTTCAGTGTGAACGCACTACTCGCACTATTTATACTACAAAATGGCGTAGAATAGTGCATATTGTGATATGCGATTTGGGACGCACCTTAGGTGATGTGCGACAAACATCACACCAAACGGAATTGCAAAAAAATTATAATTACAAAAAGAATACATTTCAAGACATAATTATAATGCAAAAATATCATTAAAATAAATATTCTTAAATAATAGAGAAATTGCTATAATTCTCAATGGTGATTCTTTAGATCCTCATCGCTGTTGTAAAATTATTTCTCGCATTATTCAATCAAAAATACAGACATTTAAAAAATAAAAGCAGTTTTAAAAAATAAACAACACTATTATGATGTATAAATACTTTAAATGTAAAATAATATCTATTTTGTGCATTAAAAATGTGATTGTTTTGGTACTTTACAACAGCAATAAGTACCTATTTGAGTACCTATTTTCTAAATAATATGCGTCTAAATATATATTTTCTAAATAAAATATATGTAATATATTTTATACATATATACTGTACGTGACATACAGTATATACATATATTATATGTATATTATATATACACACTCACTCATATACTATATGCTATATATATATATATATATATATATATATAAAATATACAGTGATTTTTATAAAAATCTTAACATAAAATATATTATGCATATTAAATTAAGTATGCATATTAAAATATTAATATTATAATCATTTAAAAGTCTCAATGATTCTCAATGGTGATTCTAATTATATCCTCACTGTTAAAATGTATTTTACAGTAATTAGAATTGCGAAGAAATGCCACAATTCCCAAAATTGTGGTCCTAAAAAGGCCTCATTTCACTAAGCAAAATAAATGTTTTCCTTTTGATTTTGGCTGAAATTTGACACGGACATGGTCTCGACAGGTTTCTTGATATTCACACGTTTTAAATGCACTGTTTTACTCACCAAGGGTAGCTGCACAGGATCTTTTTGAGGAACAGAGAGGCACTTTGGGACACATTTTGGTAGAGCTTACTGAGGTCAAACTTGGCTGCCTGGATTCTGGCCTCTGTCTCAGCAGGGTCATTCTCTGTAAACGGCAGTCTCCCACTGAGCCTGAATGGTGTACAGCATGACAAAAGCTTCGAGTTACATACTAGAATAGCATTTATGTCAAACATAATCACAGACACTGACAGCTCACAAGCTCCAGAGAGCTTCTGGAATGTGAAATTGTGACGATTCAAATGCTCCCGCTGACATAAGATTGCTAACTAGAATGGAGGTAACACACAGCAAACCTGGACATTTAAAGTCAACATAAAATCAAAATAGACTTTATTTACTTTCCAAGACAGAGTTGCAGTGGACAGCAGCACTCACATGATATAAGTCAATATGCCAATGCTCCAGATGTCAGCTGGTGGACCCACCACATCTCCTTTCAACATCTCAGGGGCTTTCAGTAACCAGCAGAGATTAAAAACACATTAGAAAGTGTACAGAAATGCACAATTACTTAAACGAGAAGGAATGGGATACCATGGGAATATCTAACATACGACATTTTAAAAGGATTACGAATATGATGCAAATAAATAATGTTTGTCTACTGTTGAAAGTGTTCTGATTGGTTGCTAGAGTAGTTAACTACACTGTAAAAATGAATACGACTGAATATGTTAAATCTAATCAATAAAATTGAGGCAACAGATTACAATCAATATTATGAATTAAATGTAACAAATTAGAATTGAATAAAAATTAACCAAATTAATTACTTAAAACTTAACCATTTAAAATGAGTAGAATTTACACATTTTTTTAAACAAAAATATCGGAAAAACACATTCGTTTTTAAAATATATGTGTTTATTTTAAAAAACAAATAGAGTTCAGTGATTCAGGTCAAATGATTGTGAATTAATGAGTATGTTAAAACATAACCAACACCATCAAATCACCTTTTCTATTTGTTCATCTGGCACGTATAACAGCTAAACAACATCTAAAGTTAATGATTTAAGGGTCAAGAGCCCAACTAAAACACACACTGATCTCCATAATGGTGACTTATATTAAATTATGGTTTTCTCCTTCGGCGATTCTGCTTGTTAACATCAGGTGTCTTCAATGAGGTCTTTATATTTTTATTTCGGAAAATGTGTAAATTTTGCTCATTTTTAAATGGTTAACTTTTAAGTAATTCATTTGGTTACTTATTACTAAATTCTAATTTGTTAAATTTAATTAATAACATTGATTGCATTCTGTTGCCTCAATTTTATTGATTAGATTTAACATATTCAGTCGTATTCATTTTTACAGTGACTCTTTTTTTTATATTAGCAAGAAAATATTGAAATATATGAACCAATATGTGCAGAAATGTTGTCTTACACATATAGTCTAGTGTTCCAATGGGTGGGCTGAACTGCTTCAGGAACAGCGGATTGAAGGTCTGCGCACTACCAAAATCAATAATCTTAACCACATTCATGTAAGTCACAATGATATTCTCTGGTTTGATATCCAGATGCAGGATTCTCCGGCTGTGCAGATAGTCCAGACCCTGAAGTATCTGTACGATGTATCCCACCACATCATCCTCTGAGTATCGGAACCTAGGAAGGGAGATAAACAAAGTGTTTCACAATTTACAGCTCTGTTGACAACCCCCATACAACTACCCCGTACTTCATCAAGTCAAGTGTTTGTGTAGTGGTACAAAATTCAGAAAGTGCTGGGGGAGGATTGAAAAGCGGTGACATGAAGACCTAAAGAAGCACGCAGCAGTCTCTGACCTGTCAATCAGACTGTAGAGCAGCTCTTTCCCTGAGCAGCACTCGGAGATGAGCACCAGGTAGCGTGGGGTGACGTAGGCCTCATGCAGAGCCATGATCTTCTCGTGGTGGAGGGACTTCAGTATGTCATACTCCTGTAACACGGCCTGCTTGCTCTCAGGCTCATACGGCACAATCTTGGCCATGTACAGGTTACCGGTGGCGTTTTCCCGACACTCTCTGATCACGCCAAAACGACCTCTGTGGTGAAGGAAACGCATGATAATCAATGGCTGTCATGTGTCGTATAATTATAAATGTATTTTTGCAAAAAAAAAAAAAAAAAGAAAAAAAAAAGAAAAAGAAAAATGTTGCTTGGAAAAAGGTGTTCATATTTTTTGTAAAATAAATGCTATGTGGTTTGATAATCTATAATATAGTGCAAAACGTATATACATCTTGTCCAAGTGACCAGATATTTTTTGGGGTCACTGTACAAAAGAACTATGAATTAGTTACAAAAATACAGACAGACCGCCAGAAAGAATATATATTCTATTTAATAATAATAAATTATATATATATATATATATATATATATACAGTGCCCTCCACAATTATTGGCACCCCTGTTTAAGATGTGGTCGAGGACTTTTAAAAATTCTCCCTTTTTTTTAAATAACATAGAATCCAAATGCAAAAAAAGAGAAAAATCCAACCTTTTATGCAAGTACATTACTTTGTTGGAAATTTTTTTTTTTTTAAATTTAGAAAAATAAAAACTTCAAATCCTGTGTCCCACAATTATTGGCACCCCTAACAATTCTCCTGAAAAATGTAATTGATTTTTAAAAATATATATTTTCTGTAGTTGCTAATGTTGGTCAGGGTATCTAGGAACTTTTAATTAGTAATTCATGACTTCCTATTTCCCTGGGGTATAAATATGACATGACACAGAGGCCTAATTCTCTTACCCATTTGTCAACATGGAAAGACAAGAGAACACACACCATTCAAGTAAGGCAGATGTGTGATGACCTTATAAGTCAGGCAATGGCTACAAGAAAATAGCCACTCACCTTATCTGCCCATATCTAAAGTTAGAGGAATCATTAAGAAGTTTAAAACAAACTGGAACAGTGACAAACAAGGCTGGAAAGAGGTCCCAAGTTTATCTTGCCACAACGCACAGTGAGGAGGATGCTAAGAGAAGTAAAAAAAAGTCCTAGGCTCACTGTCACAGAATTGCATCATCAAATAGTGGCATCTTGGGTCACAAAATCTCCAAAACAACCATCAGACGCTCTCTACATGCCAACAAGATGTTTGGGAGGCATGCTAGGAAAAAGCCTTTTCTCACCAACACTGATAAACGTAAACGTCTGGAGTTTGCCAAGCGGCACTGGGACTTCATCTGGGATCGTGTGCTTTGGTCGGATGAGACTAAGATTGAGCTTTTTGGCAACAAACACTCTAAGTGGATCTGGTGTAAAACAAAAGATGTGTATGCCGAAAAGTACCTCATGCCCACCGTGAGTATGGTGGAGGAATCTGTGATGCTGTGGGCCTGTTTCTCTTCCAAAGGCCCTGGGAACCTTGTTAGGGTGCATGGCATTATGAACGCTTTGGAACTACCAGGACATTTTAAATAAAAACCTGATGGCCTCTGCCAGAAAGCTGAGGATGGGTCGTCATTGGGTCTTTCAGCAGGATAATGATCCAAAACGTGAGGCAAAATCTACACAAAAAATGGTTCAGTCACAAACTCAAGGTCCTCCATGGCCATCTCAGTCCCCAGACCTCAATCCAATCGAAAACCTGTGGGGTGAGCTAAAGAGGAGAGTGCACAAGAGAGGGCCCAGGATACTGGATGATCTAGAAAGATTTTGCAAAGAAGAATGGTCAAAGATCCTCTCTCTGTGTTTCTCCAATCTTGTGAAATGTTATAGGAGGAGATTAAGTGCTGTCTTGTTGGCAAAAGGGGTTGTACAAAGTATTAACATCAGGGGTGCCAATAATTGTGGGACACATGATTTGAAGTTTTTATTTTTTAAATTTAAAAAAAAATTTTTACCACCAAAAGTAATGTACTTAAATAAAAGGTTGGATTTTTTTCTCTTTTTGCATTTGGATTCTATGTTGTTTAAAAAAAAGGGAGAATTTTTAAAAGTCCTCGACCACATCTTAAACAGGGGTGCCAATAATTGTGGAGGGCACTGTATATATATATATATATATTATATATATATATATATATATAATATATATTAGGGCTGTCAAACGATTAATCGTGATTAATCGCATCCAAAATAAGTTTTTGTTTACAAAATATATGTGGGTGCACTGTGTATAATTATTTTATATATATATATATATATATATATATATATATATATATATATAAACTAAAACACATGCTTGTATATATTTAGGAAATATTGTCATGTATACTGTATATAGATTTATATGTAAAACACAAACTTTTATTTTGGATGCGATTAATCGCGATTAATCTTTTGACAGCCCTAATATATATATATATATATATATATATATATATATATATATATATATATATATATATATATAATAAAATTATGGTAAAAAATTAACGTTAGAAATGTTATTTTTTATATAATTTTTTTGATTATATATATATATATATATATATATATATATATTATATATATATATATAGTGTAAGTGTTATTAATTAACACTTATTTGCATGATGATACATGATGATCTTGAATGTTAGCTATGAAGTAGTTAACTATTAAGTGTAGGTATAATTATCATTTGGTAATTTCTTATCTCACTTAGGGAAGCCTGGGATTAAAAAGTAAATAGCAAAAAAAATAAAAATAAAACAAAATAAAAGTTCAGCATTCATCATGCTATTCTATCATATGGATTACTTACAGCTGCTTTTGTATTTGATGTTGCAAAAAAAAAAAAGCTATTGTGAAACACTAGTATAAGGTTATATAAAAGTGATCAGTCATTGCACTTTACCTTGCTTTCTCATCCATGAAAGTGTATGGTTTTTGGGGTACACCCTGCCTTAGGGTCAAGTCTCCCGGTTTTCCTATAGGGGTCCTGCGCCCGGTAGGAGTGATGCGTCCAGATGGAGTGGCTCGTCCACTTGGGGTCATGCGATTGGGTGTGCCAGTACCCTCCCCTAAGGGACTCAGACTTGTAACTAACACCACGGGTGGTGACAGGGCAGGAGAAGGCGTGTTCGGGATGACTGGGGTCACATGTGCTGTGGTGGCGGCCGGGGCATACATGGGCAATGAGGAGATAGGCTTGCCGATAGCGGGCGGAGGGGACAGTAGAGGAGGTGGGGACATTGGAGGAGTTTGAGATGGTGGAGACACCACACTGACAGGAGTCTGAGGTTTGGGCAGAACGACAGGCGGTGAGGGTTTGGCAGGAGGAGCTGGGGAGGGTTTGGACACAGTGATGTTCAGAGTGGTCTTCGCTTTGGCAGGAGTAGGAGTAACAAGGGGTGGAGTTGGGACATCAGGCGCAGTACGATGGCTCGGGGGGAGGGCAGCGGGGGAAGGTGTAGTAGCTGACGCAGGAGGAGACACAGGCTGTACCGGCTGGGCTGTAGAGGGCGCTGAAGGAGTCAGTTTTGCTGCAGCAGGCTTCATTGCAGGTAAAGACATGGTAGATGTTACCACAGCTGGTGCAGGAGCCGGAGCTGACGAGAGCGTTTTGACAACAACTGTTCCACTGGACTTTTGAGGTGCTGTAGAAAAGACTTTGAATTTGAATAACGAAGAAGCATAGATGCATAAGTCCCATTCAAAATGATATTATTACACTACTGTACTGATCAAAAGTTTGAAGCGAGTACGATTTTTAAAATATTTTATTATATTATGCTCACTTATGTGACACTTGGTGATCAAAAACAGTAATATAGTGAAAATATTGTCACAATTTAAAAGAACTGTTATTTGAATATATTTTACAATAAATCTGAATTTTCAGCATCATTACTCTTCTAGTCTTCAGTCCTTCAGAAATCATCCTCCTAATATGTTGATTTGGTGCTCAAATAACATTTCCTTCTCTCCTCTGTTGCAAATTTCAAAAACAGTTGCTGCTTAATGTATCTGTTTCAGGATTGTTTCATTAATATAAATGTAAAAGTCTTTACTGTCAATTTTGAAATAAATTGAATGCATCCAAGCTGAGAAAGTATTCATTTTTTTTTAAATAATAAAAAACAGTAGTGTATATGTTATATAATCATTTAAATAGGAGGAGAAAACATTTTGTAGTTGACATCAAAGCCATCAATCTAATTAAACTACAATATTTTGTGGTAGAAGCTAGACATATTTGGTAGACAAAATCTCTATCTTTTTTTGTCTTAAAATGGTAAAAGAGAATACAACTCAAAATACACTGAATATGTGTTCACTTGTAATGAATCTGAACATTGTGTTTTTTGTGAATTATTAGCTCCTGAAAACATTAAATAGTTGGAAATCACTGATCTAGACAAAACGTTTGTGCACCTGTTGAGTCCAGGACCACTTTTTCAGACAAGTTGCTGTAAGGTCCCTGGCCAGCCTTGTTCACACAGGCAACTCTGAACCTGTATGTGGCACCAGTTGGAAGGTCCATGACGTTGTAGTAACAGTCAGCCACACCTGTGGCTACTATCAGCCAGTTAGTCTCACCTGTAGGAAAATTAATTGTAAAGAAGAAGTTGTTGCAATACCCATCCTTTCCAAAAGAGGGCAGTAGAAGGAAAGATAACTGTCTTTCCTCTACATTCACCACCATTTTTTATGAATTTACATTTGAAATATACTAATAGTTAGATAAAAAACTTGGGAAATCAAGATGGAGGGTGGATTTTAAGAGTGGAGCAAAACAGTTATCATTATGAAACATTAAAATTTTTGCATTTTAAATAATAGGGAATGCAGCTGACAATATTTATAAACACAAATCCCACACTAAATCATCAATCAAAGCAAGATAAATAAAGAAAGATGTCCACTAACCCTCCTTCTTCCTCTCCAGAGAGTAGGTGCATGGTGCCGTGGTGTCTGAGGGTCTCCACACAACCAGGGCGGTGTTTTTATATTTCTGAGGAACCTCAGGGGTCCCAGGACTATTAGGCAGACCTACAGAATAATATCCAGTTTTTACTACTAGAAATTCTTACATGGTCTTGATAAATATTTACATCCATCCAAAATGCTGTTGCAAGTTATTTTTGTAATCCTTTAATTCAGTAAGAACATATTAAATTGACCAAAAGTGACAGTAAATATATTTACAATGTTACAAAACATTTATATAAATGCTATTCTTTTGAATAACTTATTATTATTTATTTTTTTACCACGGTTTCAACAATTAAGAAAAACTGTTTTTTGCATAATAGAATGATTTCTTAAATATCGTGACACTGAAGACTGGAATAATGATGCGGGAATTTTAAATTAATTTTATATTAATTAATATTATTTCACAATAATACATATATCACATAAATGCAGCCTTCGTGAACTTCTTTCACAAATGTTTAAAAAATCTTACAGACACCAAACTTTTGAACGGTAAGTGTGTATTACTTGCTATGTGAAGTTGTATACACTGGACTCATAAAACAATCATATAACTATAGAAATTCCTAACATTTTAACACTATTTTCCACTATTCCACTAACCCTGAGGAAAATGGGATATTATCATAATATTAGCATAATAATTTCATGCACTAAACACAAAAAAACTGTCCGGCGAAGCAACTACATAATATTTGCCCCTCTGCTAGCAAGTCACCTTTCCATATTAATCAGCTCTGAAGCACAAAAAGTGAATAATTTATGACCGGCTGTTAGGAGAAAATGTCTTTGCAAAATAAGCAGTGCTTTAGTCTGCTCATGATTTTAGAAAGCCAAAGGCATTTCTGTTCTCAAGGCTAAAAGAACTCCTTCCTGAATCTAGCTTCACTAACTCCTTCACTAACTCTTAAAAAATAAATTAATCTGTTCTTTCACTGTGTCCCACTTTCATCTCTGTTCTATCCTTTACTTTTCCGAAAAATTCTGGAACGTTGCTTTGTGGTACTTCTCTTCTTATTCCTTAAAGGGTTAGTTCACCCCAAAATGAAAATTAAGTCATTAATTACTCACCCCCATGCTGTACCAACCCCGTAAGACCTTCGTTCATCTTCGGAACACAAATAAAGATATTTTTGATTGAATCTGAGAGCTGGATCAGTCCTACATAGAATGCCTAAGGGACTGGCTCTTGATGGCCCATAAAGTCATTAAAGAAAAGGTTTACATATTCCATGTGCCTACAGCGGCTCAAAAATAAGTTTATCAAGCGACGAGACTACTTTTGTGCGAAAAAAACATAAATAACGACTTAATTCGACTATTATATTACTTCCATATGGGCGCATGTGCGAGAACTGAGACGAGGATGTTCTTCTCCTTCGACTACTTTTTGTTACCGGCTGCTCCGCTTAGGAGTTTTACCGCCACCTACCGTATAAAATGATGATCCATATATAAGGCGCTCCGGATTATAAGGAACACTGTCATTTTTTTTAGAAGATTAAAGGCTTTTAAGTGCACCTTATAGTGCGGAAAATACGCTAATTGAAAAGCGTATGTACAGCGCGCATCTTCCTCTGCTTGTAAACAGAAAGTTTTGCGCTTCCAGCTATATCAGCACATCATCTTATACCTCCTAAGCGGTGAGCAGCCGGTAACAAAAAGTATTCGAAGGAGAAGAACGTCCTCGTCTCAGTTCTCGCGCATGCGCCCACAAGGAAGTAATAGAATAGTCGAATTAAGTCGTTATTTATGTTTTTTTCGCACAAAAAGTAGTCTCGTCGCTTGATAAACTTATAATTGAGCCGCTGTAGGCACATGGAATATTTAAACTTTTTCTTTAATGACTTTATGGGCCGTCAAGAGCCAGCCCCTTAGGCATTCTATGTAGGACTGATCCAGCTCTCAGATTCAATCAAAAATATCTTTATTTGTGTTCCGAAGATGAACGAAGGTCTTACGGGGTTGGTACAGCATGGGGGTGAGTAATTAATGACTTAATTTTCATTTTGGGTGAACTAACCCTTTAAGGGTTTTTCACACTGACTGAATTACCGTGTCCCCAACATTGCATTTTTCCTTCACTGTTGTATTTTCTTAATCTATTTCTCATTTACTCATCTATTCTCCTTCCTTAATTAGCTGGACTTTCACTTCCGCACTTGTCTATTTCTTGTCTGAAACTTACGAGCAAGGGACACAACGCATGAGCTGGTGACAGAGGCCAGGGCGTTTGAAGCCACACATTCATAAAGGCCTGCATCTTTCTTGGTGGTCTTCATTATCATCAGCAGCTGTCTCCCATCAGGGCAGGATATCATGTTCATCCTTGGGTCAATCACAAGTGGTTTCTTATCTGAGAATACACAAAGTTGAAAAGCAAAAAATGTTAGTTGGGAACTTTTAACTTTTGCCAAAATCCTAATCTTAAAGCTACAATCTGGTGTTCTTTAGAGGTGTTCTTTAGAGATGCTTATGTTGACATTTAAGACTGACTTTGGTGGTGTTACTTTGAGATGGAGAGACATCCTTAGCCAAAAACTAAACAGGTTTGGTTATTAGTTCACTTTTCCCAAAAATTTGCTGATAATTTACTCACCCCCATGTCATCCAAGATGTCCATGTATTTCTTTCTTCAGTCGAAATGAAAAGGTTTTTAATGAAAACATTCCCGGATTTTTCTCCATATAATGGACTTCAGTGGGAACCAGACGGTTCAAGTTCCAAAAGAAACCTTCAGTACAAACTGCAAACTTGTTCAAAGGGCTTTAAACGATTCCAGACGATAAATAAGGGTCTTATCAAGCGAAATGATCGCTCATTTTTTTTTTTTAAATAACTAAGTTTAAGTTTTATAAGATCAAATGCTCGCCTTGCTCTGTTCTGTGGTGCACGTTAGTGACTCTCCTGTTCGAACTCGTTCAACAAAATGAACACATCTTTTTCCGAATCTATTCGTTCGTTTCTTTCGCCAAATGACTCGGAAAAAGATTTGTTAATTTTGATGAACGAGTTCAAACAGGAGTGCGTTACAGAACAGAGCAAGGCGAGCGTTTGATCTTATAAAACTTAAACTTTGTTATTTATTTATAAAACGAGCGATCGTTTCGTTTCGATAAGACCCTTATTCATCGTCTGAAATCGTTTAAAGCCCTTTGAACAAGTTTGCAGTTGGTACTGAAAGTGTCTTTTGGACCTTGAACCATCTGGTTCCCACTGAAGTCCATTATATTGAGAAAAATCCTGGAATGTTTTCATCAAAAACCTTAATTTCTTTTCGACTAAAGAAAGAAATACATGGACATCTTGGATGACATGGGGGTGAGTAAATTATCAGTTTAAATTATCAATTAAGTTTTTTTAAAGTGAACTACTCCTTTAAGGCATCTAGGATCCTTGGTTTTGCACAGCACAGATCCTGATTAAATGCATACTGTATATCTCTTGGTATACTGTTTTATAATTATTGTTTCACATATAAAACAATTAAAGGAGCTGTATGCAAGATTGTGGCCAAAACTGGTACTGCAATCACTTTCAAATTAGGGTGTATCCCCACCTTCCCCCATGACTCGAGGTTGTCAGATATGCTGCCGGTTCCAGCAGGAATGTAGGATACACAGTGCACAGTGAGTTTTTTTTTCTGTTAATTATTTATTTCGGACTTTGTAACAAAGTATTTCCGATTCATATAGAGTTTTTTGGGGTTCGCAACGTTAGAATTCTTTTATCCGATTCCGACACGTTTGTTTCTGCAGCTGTGGTAACTAGAGAAGAGCTGGCAACCCGAATGCCGCAACACTACTGAGTCCGTGATTGGTAGATCGGTGGAGGGTGACGCATCAGAACAAAACACAACATGACAACATCAACACCAGTCGAGGGCTGCGACCTTACTTTTTAAATGACAATATCCTGGCCGGACTACTGTTGACAGTGAAATAAGTATTTGAAATGAACATGATTTCTTAATGTCTAGTGACAAATCAGGGAACATTTATGATTAGTTAAAATAAATTTCTTGCATACAGCTCCTTTAAGAATAGTATACCAAGAAATATAATCTTTTAGTATGAAATGAAAGACACTATGCTAACATAGAGAACAAAATCTTTAAAGAAGTGAGATAATACACTTTTTACAATATTTTACAGTTATATTATTATCAGCTGTTAAGCATATTGTACTCCGTTTAGGTCAGATTCCATATTTATCTATCTTTAGTCCCATCAAAGCTAATATTATAATTTGAATCAGACCTTTCATCCATGAGATGTGTGGGTGAGGGCTGCCAGCAGGGAGGCAGCTGAGAGTGACAGGATCTCCCTCCAGGAGAACGTGGTCCCTCAATTTGATATGGAACACAGGAGGGAAATCTAATTGTTGGGAGAATAAGTGAAAAAGTAAGAAAGACAGGCACTATAATTTATCGTCCACAGCTGTGCCAAAGCAAGTCCATATGCATAATTGATTCATTGATGATATATGTAAATGTTTATGACAAAGCAGGAAGTCATCAAACAGATGTCACTTTTAGCGCAGACGTTACAGTGAAACACGCAGATAAAACAAACAATACCAGATGTTAGACGTGTGTACTGGCGAGAGCGGAGAGAGCCATTTTCCCGAGCAATGGAAGCTGGTATGTCTGGTTGTGAAACTGTCTTGTCTTTTTTTCCCCTTGTCAAGCCCCAGCGGTCCCACCGTGATCTACGCTCAATATCTGCACCAGGGAAAGAAAAATGACGGTCTTTAAAGTTAGGAGAACTGACAACAACATGAAAGAGTTAATGTAATAAGAAGATTAACCAGGAAAAACTGGCATACCTTTAAAAGCTGATTCTGATTGGATGCTTGACATGGAATCCAGAGATTCTGATGAGGTCCCTTTCCCTGACTGGTCAGCCAGTTGGTTCTGTGGGATACCCATCCTCTTCAGACTGCCCCCTTCAGAGGTGGAACGGCGTATTTTGGTGAATATAGGTGTCCTCTTGAGCTCCATCTTGCCTTCATTGTCGTCTTTCCTTTCCTCAGAGTGGCTCCTAATCCTTGTGGATAAGCTTGCCATGGTACTGCCAATCTTCTTGCGTATCGCAAGGATAGGTGACTCCGAAGGTGCTTTGGACTCAGGCTCTGGGGGAGGCTCAGGACCTCCATCCAACCTCACCATTTCAATCTCTTTCTTTTCTTGGGATCCCCTCCGTCCTAGTGCCCAGGACAGGCGTCGCCTTGGTGCCTCCTCCTCTTTGAGCTTCTCCTCCTGCCTCTCCACTGATGGGGCTCTTTTCAAGCGCATGGAGAGTCTCCTCATGAATCCAGGGTCCTTCTCTGCCTCACGGAGATCCTGAACTGATTTGGACTTCTCCTCTAACCTCCTTGGCACAAACTCTAAAGGAGCACCAATTGGCCCTGGTCGATACATATCTTCTGCAGTTTCAGGAGCAACAGTGGTGGGCTTTTCTTCAGTCTTCTGAAAAGAGAAACGTTTGAGACTGCGAGTGAGAGAGGACTCGCGTTTTTTGAAGCGAGCTTCAAAGACCTCCTCAGATGCAAGGTCCTGGATGTTGCTTCCAGGAGACGGCTCACGCTTAAGGGAAGCACGAGTGGGAGTCTTAGGAGGACTTGGCTCTTTGGGAGGGTGTTCTGTTGAGGCAATCCGAGAAAAGACTGCCGCATGTTCAGTGGTTTGGTGAAGATCTGATTTGGATGAAGAAGATGATAAAAGTGTTGGTTCAGAGATGTGTCTGGAAATGGGTGCATAGACTGGAACTGATGATGGGGTGGACGTTGGTGAATGTGTGGGGACAGGAACAGGATCAGGTTGACTAGATGCCTGGACCGATGGTACCATGATGGTCTGCATGATACTGGCATATGCAGAAATTCTACCATCTGGGAGCACTGTACGTGCAGGGGGAGATGGGGTCACATTCGTTGAGACGACACTGTGGGGGCTGGGAGCTGGGGCAGCTGTTGGGGTCACCATGATTGACCTGGTGGAAATGATCTCTGGAGATTTTGTTGATGCCTTTACATCATCCTCAACTTCTTTGACCTCAATCTCTGGAGCAGGAGGCTCCATTTCTTTCTCTGGCTCTTTATCCTCTCTTTCGTTATCTTCCTCTTCTTCGATTGTTTCCTCTGCTACGGGGGTCTTCAGCTTAATTTCAGCAACTTTTTCAGACTTTTTACTGGGTTCCTCTAACTTGCTCTGGCCCTTCTCTTGTGCATCAGTCTCCCAAGAGTTCTGATCAACATTTCTGACTTCATCTGCATTCGTTTTTGATTCAACAATGACTTCTTCAGATTTACTGTCCTTGTAGACTGCTGGCTCTTTTTCCTCAATGTTCTCCAGCTCATGTCTCTCTGGTTCTGGCGTATGAATTTTCGGAGTGACTGGGCGAGAATCCTTGACTGGCTCTGTGAGAGCAGACATAGAAATAGCTTGCTGCAGCCGCCTCTCCTCTATTTGTGCCAGTGGGATCTCTAGAGGTGCTCCAATCCGTCTGTGCAATGGCATGGGCTCTGAATCACCTTGGCTGAAGGAAGCACTTTTGCGGAGTATCTTGGTCTTTGGGGTGTCATCTCTAGGTGACTCACTGGATGCTGCTCTGACAAGTGGAGGGTTACCTAGACGAGACCCCCTCACAAAACGCTTCTCATCCCCCATACCTAATGTCTCCAGCAATGGGCCTCTTAATCCGCTCATCTTGTTGTCAACAGAGCCACCCCTGAGAAGTCTCTGCCTCATCAGTTCTAATTTTAGGGCATAGTCTTCCTGGCTCAGCTTTGCAGCTCCTGGGCTTGGGCTCCTCCTTGGAATCTCCATAGATACTGACTTTTGTAGAACTCTACTTCCAGTGGGTGGGCTTTCTTCAGTGCCCTCCTCTGGTTTAATGTGGAGCTGTAGGGCACTGTCAGCTGAGCTCCCTCTGCGCAACTCTCCTCTGCGACGTGCTCCCTCTGGCTCATCTGACTCCATGCTTGAACCTCTGCGCATTGGTCTCTTGGCCTGTTCTGCCCTTTTTGCCAGTTCTGCTGGTTCTTCATCAGACGATCCTTTTTCATCTTCTTGCGTTGACCTCTTTCTGGCTCTACCCCTAGCGACTGCATCTCCACCCTCTCTCTCTGACGTCTCCACTTCCATCGGCTCTGACTTCAGATGGATCGAAGCAGGCCTCTCAGCATTTCCGTTTGGTTTACCTGCCATTTCATCATCCCCTACAATTTCAGTCAGTGACATTCTAGATCCTGAGAATTCCATGTTGAGGGGCATTGGGATAAAAGGCAGCTCGTCAATGTCTTCATCCGAATCCGAAGATGATGAAGGTGGTGGTGAGCTTTGTTTCAGATGTCGTGGAACAGCAATGGAAATATGGCTGGAGGAGTCATCCAGTAACTCGGGTATAGACCTCATCACCATCTTAGATTTATAGCTGATAAGAGATCGCTAAAAGAGATGTGAACATTGTTACAACCACATATGGAAATAGTCTATGATCAGGGTTTCCACACCTCGGTTAACTTCAAATTCAAGGACCTTCCAGGTTCAACACCCTCAAATTCAAGGACTTAATGTGGGGACAACATAGTGTAGATCAAATCAATTATAAAATATTCCAAATATCTTGAAACTTGCATTTTCCAGGCATCATGTTTCAGTGGTCTCAGCCTATTTTTGCAATGTTTCACGGTGTGTTTGTGAAACGTTGATGTACCATCGTAGTCGTTTTATGCACGTGTGAACGTCATGGCAATGTACAAGTACCTCACACGGGAAACACTTAATGTAACGCGTAAATATGAGTAACTGACGTAAATCAAGCAAGCTAATATTCAAGTGTCCCGAAGTGTTGGCGAAATGACACGTTAGCGGACCGGAGGGATTTTTTTTCCAAAAAAGCTCTTGCACAAAATAAATTCAAGAACTTTCAAGGACCTGTATGTATTTTCAAAAACTTTCCAGGGCCTTGAATTGTGTTTTTCAGATTCACAAACTTTCAATGATTTCAAGGACCAATGGGAACCCTGTTTAATGTTCTAAGTGGTGAAAAGTCACTAATGTTATCTTACCTGCCATTTTCTTCTAGACAAAAACTTTTTAAGGTGCTCTGTGCTGATGCTCTTGCCCTTATTCAAGGTCTAAAAGAAAGAAATATGTATTTAAAATGTTCACAACTTAAATTAACCAAGTGGCATATATGTTGTACTAATTTAAATAACGCATGTGGGTAGCTATGGGTTTCTGTTGTTACCTTGAACCAGGGGTGCCGAAGACATTCATTAGCATCGGGTCTCCTGCAGATAAAACAACATTAAACAAATTGGCAGTTAACACAAAGTGCTCTTAGCAGTGGAAACAATTTTCTGGAAACAGGAGCTTGGTGCAGCAGATTAGCCCTGTAGATTCCACTTACAATCTATCAGCCACCAGCAGTTTGATGACGAATCCTTTGGCTTCATGGCAGAGGTCGGTAAACATGCTTTCTTCAAAAGCCACGTTATAGTTTCTGATGTTGAGAACAGAGCTGCGGTCATTTTCTCCAGCAAAAGGAGAAACTCCAGTGAGACTGCAAAGCAAAGTTCTTTGATGAAGTCTAGCTGAAGTATTAGTGATGAATATTATAGGTAAATATAAAATAATTTAAAATTATATAAATCACTTAATATTAGACATAACCCTACCATAAGTATGTTAGAACTCCAATAGGCCTGTAAGAAAAAAAAAGTTAAATTGTGAGAAAGACACAATTGAATACTCATGTATTCAGTGTCATGAATACTTATGTATTCATGACACTTTAGAGGCTGCATACAGATTTGTTCAAGAGCCGTTTTGTGAAAAAGGGACCAGGTGCATTACCAGATGTCCGTTGCCTTGGAGACGGGTGTCTGGTTAACAATCTCTGGGGCGACAAATTCTGGAGTGCCATATTTGCAGTACTGTGCCTCATCAGGGGTGAACTTTACAGCATTTCCAAAATCACATATGCGGATCTGATCACTGGTAGGGTCTGCCATAAGGATGTTATCAGGCTGAGCGGAAATATAGAGGATTTTTGTCAACACATTGGTTCCTTACTGTGATTATTGCTTACTGGAAAGGAAATGATGATGACAGCAGATTACATAATGCTTACCTTGATGTCTAGATGAACTATGTCAAGCTGATGAAGATAGCTAAGACCCTCCAACAGCTGCCTCACGCTGGATCGGATCTGCAGTAAACAATTCAGAGAATTTCAGTCCAATGTAATGAGTGTGCCTAAACTGTCTGAGTAAATCTAAAGCTTCTTTCATCTGTGAAATAAAGTAATACATTCCTTATCATCAACATAACTAGAGGATGCAAAAATAAATGACACAGGACAAACCAAATGTGACAAACTGTAACAGAATAGTCTGTTCACACATTTGTAACTTGTATGGTGACTTTGAAAGATAAAATCAGTTCACTCACCTCTGACTCCATTACTGTTGATTTCTTTGTAAGCCTTTCGAGAAGCTCCTCATGGCATCTTTACACATCGTCAAAGACAACAGAGTGATGGGGAAAAGCTTGTGAACAAATCATCATCCTTACACCATTGGTGATTGATGTGTGTACAAAAAGTGTGATTATGCAAGACTGGATGTGAGAAATTACATAAAGTGTGGGTTCTATTTTACATACCATTTAATCATAAATTATATTAAATTCATAATCATTTAAATTCAGTGTTAAACTGAAAACAAGAGTTAGTATTTGGTTTATTCTTTTGTGACCAGTAAATAGTGCAGAATCTTAAATATTTCTTAAAATATATCATTACATGCTTTTGCAACACTTTCTAACTCCCAACTCACGTCATATTTTGACACTTGGTCAGGACCCCTCGGCGTCATATGTATATACAGTATAAAATGAACTTAAACTTAAACATGCTTTTATTGCCAGTGATCCCTAAAGCTCTCAGAGATGATAACAAGGATACAGCTCTGTAATGATGATAACTGCATTCTTCTTCTCGAAGGCATCGTGAAAGTAAAGGATCCTCTCATGGTCTAGATGAGACAGGATGTTCAGCTCTCTCAGAGTGGATTCCTTCCGTTTAGCACGAGCGGAAATAAACTTGGCTGCATATTCAATCTTTCCCGCCTTCTGTATCACCCGCTTCACATATGAGAACGCCCCTCTAAGGAAAGAACATTTCTCATCAAATCGTAGAAAATAAGAACATTTAAGAATAAGAAAAATAAGGTTTATTCGGTAACACTTTACAATACGGGTGCACTAATATGCATTAATTCATGCTTAACTAATGCACAGATAATCATGAGTTAATGTATAACTCACGAAGAACTAAACCATTAATTAATGATTAGTGCATCAGCAAGTAATAAAGAGTCTATATGATTAATAGATTAAGTAATACATGAATTGGTATTAATTCAATGTGTCATTGTGTATTAATTATTTAATAACATATTTCATTAACTAATAGTGTAAATTAGTGTGTTAATTACCACAATGAGTCAAAGCTATGCACTTCAACTTCCAGTTGTTTGCTTTAATTAATCATTAGCTAATGATTTGCAAAGGTATCATTATGTTATGACTTTACTTGTTGGGGCACACCATTATTAACTAGTCATTTAGTAATTTGCACATGAATTTGCACTAACAATGAAGTAATTAATCATGTATTAATGCATATTAGTGTACCTTTCATATTATCTGGAAGTTGAAATGCAAGGCTTTGGCTCATTCTGGTAATTAACATATTAATTAACACTATTAGTTAAAAAATGAGTTATTATGGAATTAAACCAAAATTACATATTTAATTAACCCTTGCAGAATCTTAATTAGTTCCTAATGTGGTAATCATTAATGAATAGCTTAAATAATCATTAGTTACACATTAATTCAGTATTATCTGTGCATTAGTTAAGCATGAATTAATGCTTATTAGTGCACCCATATTGTAAAGTGTTACCGCCAGTGAAAAGATAGTAACAAAGCAAATATCTTTACCTCTATTTTTGTCTTTCTACTGATGAAATATATTTGTTTATATTTACCAAATTTAATAATTTGTAAAATATTTGGGCACAAATTGTCAAAAACTATCAATTCTAATATAGTTTGCAATTAGCATGTTGCCAAGCTAATGACTGTATTGTAAGCATAAAAATACACTGTTTACACAAAAATACACAAAAGTACGCTGTTTTTTTTTTTCGTTGAAAGAAATGAAAACTTGAATTCAGAAAAAGACAATTAAATGAATCAGCAATGACAGAAATGTATTCATGTCATTAGTACTGCCATGTACTGCATTTCTTACGGTTTCCACAAAAATATTATGCAGTAGTTCTTAATTTCGATGATAACAAAAATGTTTCAAATCAGCATATTAGAATAATTTCTGAAGGATGAGTGTGTTATGAAGATGAAAATTCAGCTTTGCCATCACATGAATAAAATACAGAAAATAGTTATTTTAAATTGTAATAATATTTCACAATATTACTATGTTAGTGTATTATGGATTAAATGAATGCAGTCTTGGTTGAAAAAGACTTCTTTCAAAAACATAAAAAAAAAATCTAGAACATTTAAATCACTCTTATGAAAGGTAGTGTATGTACAAACAAATATTGTGTGAATTTTTGTTAGAGAAAACATTTTTTTTAATACTTTTCAGTGAATACATAAAGTCTATATTTATTATGAACATTTATGTACACCATCTAAGGTCAATGTTGCCAAAAGGTCTACAAAGAGCACTCCTACGATGCCTTCACATCCTTTTAGAGACAGAAAGCTCACTAGGTTTTGGAAGAGAGTGAGTAGCGCGGTAGCATGTGTCTGTTTGCAGCGGGTGCAGGTCTAAATAGAACGGTGGCAGTCGGCCATGAAGATTATAATTAAAGCACAGAGAAAGCAAGAGCATGCGGAGAAGAGATACTGTGCCACAAATGCTGCTCAGTGTACCATTGTGTCAAACAAATAACCCTCTCTTTAAAATATGGCTATGACCATATTATACTGAACCATTTCAAAGACGCAAATCTTACCTAGATTTTTGCATGATATATTGATTAATTAATAGCATATAGTAAACATTTTGAAAACCAAATTCAAATATTCTAACATGTTGTAGAAGAAGAGTAAATCCCTGAATAGATCTAACAAAAAGTGCCTTTAGAAGCTAATTTGTTTATGTCCACTTTATTGAACGCATCGCTTTAAAGTTTAAACTGACAGCCCTAATATTTCTATTAAGGTTTTCTGGGTAGTTACTCAATACATACTCTCAGCCTCAGACGTCATTGCCACGGACCGTTAGCTGACCGTGTGATGCATATTGCACACAAAATTGGAGACACTGTAGAAGTTGTAATTTGATTTGGTTGAATTCTACAGGTTTTCCAGGAGACGTGCCGGTCACGTTTTGATACGAAAATAAAGATGCCATGATGCCAAACCCCCTCATGGAAAAAGCAAGCCGTCGCATTTACAACTGTGACAATGAGCGCTTCTCAGGATCAACTAAATGCTGGATTTTCAAAAGAATGTGAAATATGTCAAGTTGACGGCATAGACCCATTAAAATTAGGGCTGAACGATTAATTGCATTTGCGATAAAATCGCGATATGATGAAACGCGATTTTGTAATCGCAAGAGCTGCGGTTACACTGGTCACGTGACACGCGAGAGAAAAGCAGTCTGCAAGATAAAGCATCAACTTGCCACGCTACGCGGTCTGGCGTCCCGAAAAGAACAGTTTATTGTGTTATTTATTCTCTCCTCTCCTCAACAATCCTGGATCGATTCAGAGAATTTCAGAATCGAGTCTGAGCTTAGTTTTTAAACACAGATGCGTGATGACGCTGCACGTGCTTTAGAAACGAACCGGGTTCTGAATCTGCTTGCTTCTATTTTCTCTCTCTCTCGCTCTCTCTCTTCCTCACTCACACACACACGACACCGCTCGAACCTTCCAAAACATAGTAACGTTATTTCATAAAGTTCGGGATTGAACCGAATTACAAGGACATTTGCGGGCTTCGTTGAACAGGTTTTGCCGCTTTGCTTGATGTTATAACGTTACACTTGCAGTGCGCGTTCTCTACCGCGGGAATTTTCTTTACAAATGCTTCACAGAGGCATTATTTATGTCTTTTGGAATGCAGTTGGCTTATATATTAAAACCATGAAAATCACTGAGAAGGCTGCTTTCATTTTAAAATACTAACGCGTGCTTTGTGAAGAGCTCGTGCATGCGGCGGCCGTGAGTGACTCATTGGTAAATGTACTTGCATGTCAAAATGCTTTTATGACGCGAAATTAATGTAAACACGGTCAGTTATATCTTAAACCAACAGGACAAACCACATTTACAATTTCAAAAGAGATATATGCATTAGTGTGAATGCAGCTTATCGTATCTAAACTGAGGGGAAATCACTCCAGCTTACTTTTACAGCCTACTTTTAAATACTGAGACCACTCTTTGTTTATTGCTTGTAATGTTTTTTTTTTGTTTCTCTTTATTTACTAGCTTTTATATTTTGAAGCTATATTATTTTATATAGCCTATTTAACTAATTGGTTTAATTAAAAAAAAAATGTATTTATTTTTTTAAAGTATGTGTTTTTACACATGTAATTAAATACATATTTTAAGAGTTATTAAGATTAATTAATAAGAAAAAAAGTAGATCGGATCATGAGCTATCTAAAGGTTCCCATCCCTACTGTACAATGATTTATTGCTTGTCTTTGTCGACTAATACAGAAGGTAAATAACTTTTTTATTTAAATCGCATATTAAATCGCAATCGCAATATTGGTTAAAAAAAATCGCAATTAGATTATTTTCCAAAATCGTTCAGCCCTAATTAAAATACATTTACTTCAGTTTTACACACTGGTCTGTTATTGTAGGGACGTCAACATTACATTTTCACATGACGCGGAACAAAACAAACTCTGATTGGTTGCTTTACATGTCAGTCAGACGGCCTCTGGGCGGTCCTTGGCCAATGAGAGCTGCTAAGCGAGACTACTCAATACAGAACCTGTACAAACCTTACTAAGAAGTGCAAGGATCCCATATTTTAACAACACAAGAAATTTCAAGGCTCTTTTGGCCTCTTCTGATGTGGCTGAATCATTCTTTGATTGTGGAGCATGAAATTGCATACTTCCAAACCAAAAGTGTATTTTTAATAATGTGCCAACCCGTTATCCGGCTGAATCTTTATTAAACCTTAGACGTCTCTGTGATGAGTCAGAAGACCTGAGATATGTCATCAGCGAGAGCTGATGGAGTCGGCTCTTTGAATTTCTAGGCCGACAGAGGAAATCATTAGAGATAAATGGTGTGTCCAAGTGAGGCTCTGGGCGGATGACTCACCTCCCAATTTCCTTGTGCACGTCATAGTAATCAGTGAGTCTCCGCATCTTCCTTAGGATGGACGCCTCATCCTCCATCGTGTCATCTTTCACCACCTTGACTACACACAGAAAGTCAGGAATAAAAACAAATCACAAAGACAATTTCTGAAAGCCAATAAAATGAATTACCAAGCACAGGCTGCACGTGCACAGTTCAAATTGCTTATTCTCACATTTTGCTTTTATATTTTAATATTTCAACACATTCACTATACATAAATATGTATTTATTATATCATATTTCATATATATTCTTGCAAATATGCATACAGTATGTTAATTGTCTGAAAACTCTCTTGTTGTGCTTTGTTAACATTATTTTCTATTTATTGTGAACAAAAATTTAAAAAAAATTTAATTTAATATTAACTGAAAATAACAAAACCTATTTGAAATGAACGAATTAATGCAAATAAATTCAAGATACATCAGTATATTTCCAGATATTATTTTTAATATATTATATTTGAATGGTTAGACAACAACTTCCTTCATTAATGGCTTCATTAAAGTGCTCACCGGTGTGGACGGTCAGCTCGGCCTTGCAGGACACGGAACCGGCCAGATTCTTAGCAGTGCAGGTGTACACCCCTGAGTCATCTGCTTGAGTGTTAAGCACCACTAGAGAACATTCATTGTCATCGTACACAAATGTGAAATGGCTGCTTTCGGACAGCAGGGTGTCTCCCTGAAAATCAGAGGAAAAGATTGACTAAGCAGCCATCCCACCGCTGTGATTTGAATTTGAAATGCATTTGTGTGGGTTTGAGGTGAACAGGGTAGTGAGGAATTAAACAGAAGGCAAAGCCCTGAGGCAGGATATGGAATATCCAAAAGTATTATTCAAAGCATAAATTAGCATGATTTACAGGACATGATGATGCTCACAGGAAGGTGATGTGGCTAAAGGAAATATCAGACAGGCACCATTAGTGAGAGATCAGCAGGTGGGAAACAGGCTGACGTGGTTTGACTTGAAAGTCAGAAATCTCAGCTAAACTGACTGCAACTGATACGAGAACAAACGTCTACCACAGCACGAGAATCACGAAACAGCAAGAACTATTGGTTTCAAAACACTCAACACAAGAATGTTTCAGCTATGTGATAAACAATAGAAATGTTCTCTTATTGGCAGTATCAGTGAACAGAGAACACGTTTTTCCATTCCACCGCCCTACTTTTCCATTAGGGCTGTCAAACGATTAATCCAAAATAAAAGTTTGTGTTTACATAATATATGTGGGTGCACTGTGTATAATTATTATATACAGTATATATATAAATTCATACACACACATGCTTGTATATTTAAGAAATATTTTCATATACTGTATATAGATTTATATATAATTTATATTATACATAAATATAAATATTTTATATATAAATAATAGTTTTTTCTTAAATATACACGCATGTGTGTGTATTTATATATATATATATAAAATAATTATACACAGTGCACCCACATATACTGTATTATGCAAACACAAACTTTTATTTTGAATGCGATTAATCGCGATTAATCGTTTGACAGCCCTATTTTCCATTGCATTTCTGTTTCTAGACGGACGTGTTTGACAGTTGTACTCGCGTTTCGTGCTGAAAACGCCATTTTCAACACCTTGCGTTTTCCACTGCCTCGTGTTTTTAGATGTAAAGACAGTGTGTGTGAATGGTCCCAAATGGGAGAAAAACCAGCAAGGTCCCTTTACATACTGTAGAGCGTGTTTACATAGAAAACAATGGAAAAGCAGCGCAGTGGAATACAAAAATGCATTTTTTGGAAATGGCCCATAATGCTTCTCATGTTCTTTTGTTGCCAGAGTATTTTATGCCTGGTTCAGATTACACGATTTTTTTTTTTGTCTGTTACGATAGTCACTGTGTCAGATTACACAATTTTGACTCCTAAAATTTTGTTGTGTCGTGGACAAGACACGTCAGACACGTTGCTTCCTGACCAGTCATCACGTGCCGTCTTTAACGAGGCGCATGATGTCATCGAGAAGGTGAAACTAGTAGCGAGTGACTTCCGGAAACGAACGTTAACAAACAATGGATGAAGCAGTGAGTGTTGTATTGGCTGTCCTGTGTTCAGAAAAAAAGAAAGAAAACCGACAATGGACACGTTCCTGGATTGCTAGAAGAGTACAGTATGGGCCGTCAACCCTCTAAAGAGAGAACTTGAGGTAAAATATTGTTTTCTTATATATTTTTACTTTTAGCAACATCGTCTCTCTTTCGTTTCGCCATTTTTGAAAGTTGTGTACGTAAAAGCTTGTGCTCCTATTGGTCAACCTCATACATGTGACGGAACCCATCTTGGAGGACCGTTAAAAAAATGAAACATGCTAGTCTTTTTGTCATGATGTCGTGAAGCATCGCAGACGCGCCGTAGGTTGTCGCCCACTATGAAACACTATACAAGATGATACGATCGAATCTTGCGTCCCGACGCCCGTTGTCGTTTACGAATCCTCACGATACCCTACGTCAAACGGATCGTGCCAAAATCGGGCTAAAATCGTGTAATCTGAACCAGGCATAAGGCATAAAGCATCACATTTGCATTTAAAGATACACACACGAAAATTGTGTGGTTTTTGCTTCTACCCAAAAAAAGGAGCTGAAACTTCACTGACACATTCTGGGAGAACTTACGACTTATATTACATCTTGTAAAAACAGACATAAGGAGTCCCCTTTAAATGGGCTGTTTTTTACTGCTATTTACATGCCTAGTTCGCAAACCGATTTCCATTACACAAGAGTAGATGTTAAAACTTCATGCTGAGTTGTACTCGGCTTTTGCCAAGATAAGCAAAACTAAGACTTAGCTTTACAGTAAACTATGCTTCTCCATCCATTTACGCTTCTTTCCATATGGTGGTGCGACTCCCCTTCTGTCCGCCGTTAATGGCTGCAGTGTACTTGGTGCGTCACTACACACGACGGCTGCAACTATAGTGTGTTCTCCCTAGTGGACCAGCACAACAACCGTCTGGATTGAGCCGAGTAGGGGACATCTCTAGGGTCTTCAAGTGGGCACCTTCCGTCCTCAGTGTTTCGTCGACTAGCCCACGACACCTCAAGAGGGCTCGACAGTGACTCTGGCGCCCCAGAGTCACCCCCTGCCGTCTCCCACTCAGCTCAGCCCAGCTTACTGACCTCTACATTCCTCCTGCTGCCGAGACCTAACCACAATCTCGTGCAACCCAACCATACACGCCAACCCGTTTGACTAAGGCTGTCGAGCCCCACTGGTGCGTTAATGCAGTTTCAGTGGCAACGGTTCCGTATGGCATACCACCTAACTCAAAACACAATTTCTGCCCAACCACTCGCCATTCACACAATATACACAGGAACGTAATGACTGTAAATACTATACAACCTATACAAATAAACCAACAGACTCTTCACGTTTTTCAAGAATTCAACCATAGCGTGGCAGCCTGTACATAGCCTTCCAGAATCTTTCCGTCTCAACCACACCCAGTTGCTGTTCCTCTCTGCTGCTTCAGATAAGTTCTTTACTGTGCTATGCAACTCTTGACCACTGAATCCGACATCTCTGAGGAACATCTCTGAGGAACAGTGTTGTAGAGTGTGCCACAAAACCTCGACAACCCACTTCCACCGGATAAACCTGGACTCTCTATCCTCTCTGTTCTGCTTCAGTGGCCAGATGAGCATATCACAGTTTCTTCCTCTAATATGCCTCATCTACCGCATCCTCCCATGGCACTGTTAGCTCTATCAGTTGAACAATGCGTGTTGATCCAGACAAAACAATATCTGGTCCTAGGTTAATGGTAGCAATCTCAGGTGGAAAAATAAACCATTGATCAAGATCAACCAGCATCTTCCAGTCCCTAGCAGCTTCCAGTTGTCCTTGGCGAGAAATGGTGTTAACACATTTTCAGGCGGCAACTTATTGGTCATACTACGCATACAATGCTAAAGCCAATCATCACTTCGTACTTCGTACCAATCGTACTTGGTCATGGCGCCAATTAAACCGACCTTGGCTAAGAGCCACCTTACATCCTGTCAAAATGTGCCTTAATGTGGCAGGTGATGAAAACAAAGGACAAGAGGGATCCTCTCCTACCCAGAGGTTTAGGTTCTGCGGTGATTGGAGAACATCATATGTTGAGAGTTTGTCGAATATTATAGATTTTCACTGCCCCAAATCTTGATTTATTGACAGAATTTTTTTTAATACAATATAAATCCTAAAAAACTGTGCTCGAATTAAATGGGGCATGCACTACAAAAAAAAGCACACACCTTGTACCAAAGGATGTCTGGGACAGGCTTTCCTTCAACCACCACCGCAAAACGAGGAGTCTCGCCTACATTCACATCCAGGTCTTCCATGATGGACTCAAAAGTTGGTGCCACTAGAGACAGAGAAATCAATGAGACTGAATATGTGCAATAATACAGATAGTCATACAGTTTGTATTCTGAAAAAGGCAACGTACCTGCCATTTCCAGGGTTAGGATGCAGGAGTCGCTGCCATACTTGTTGCTGGCGACGCAAGTGAGCTGACCAGCATCACTGCTCTTTACCTTGTACAGCTTCAGTGTGTGCTGGTCATCATCAGGCATGCTCAACTCATACAGACCCGGTCTGTTAGACAATGTCACTCCCCCTCTGAAAATATAATGCCACAATAACTTCTTGTTTTATTCAGGTCAACAACATATACATGTCCTTGCAAATGCAAAAGTGTAAATATTTTAGGTTATATGGCTATTAAATAGAGTGGCGAAGTAGGCCAAAACGCGGAAGTGAGTTAGCATTTAGCACTACCGGTTCCCTCGCTCTGAAGTCTATGGGATTTTTGAATGGGTTTTTGCTAAATCGCCTGAAATAAGGTCTGTGGTGAACAAAGCCTCTAAATATTTTCACGTTTTGATCTATGACATAAAACACACAGTTATAACCAGCCTGTGGTTTTTTAAACTTTATTGTGTCTGATTTAAACTTTATTGTGTTTAAATACTTTATATAGGCTTCAAAATGTATAAATTTTGGATTAACTTGTAAAACGTGTAAGGGTCACAACTCTTTGTTGAACACAGATCTTATTTTTTGCGATTTTCCAAAAGTCTATGGGGAAAATGCATAGCTTTTCGATCGAAGGAACCCATGCGCCGCTAGCTTCCGAGTCGTCCTACAAAGTGACGTCATCACTTCGGCACTCTATAGATGCAAGAAATAAAAGATCAATCAGAATTCAGTATGCCAATAGGTGTACGATTGAAGACTGATCAGAATTTAATATGCAAACACTCCACTCACACAGCTCTTACTAGCTGGCCTCAGTAACACAAACATTAATGTCTTAAAATGTATAATGTTAAAAATGATAAAATACTAGAGAATCAGAGATTTTAAACAAACCCTAATTCAAATATTTAAGGAATACTAATACCGTGCTGTCTTAATTATAGCATCAGAGAATTATTAGCATAGGAAAAACTTGAACTGCATTTCTGTAAATAATATATTTGTGTACTGTATAGATATAGAGGATTTGCAGCAATGCAAACAAGTCATATGTATTACTCTTGTGGTACTTTTATGCCTCTTTTAAAGCTTGCAAGTTTAAATTCCTAGTTTTGATGCATGTAAAAGAGTGACTAGGGCATTCTTCTAAATATCTCATTTTGTATTAGAAGGAAGAAATAACATAAGGAAGCGCAAATGAGTGCATAATGACAGCAGACAACAGTTTCTTAAATTATTAATAAGTATTAGGCAGAACAAAAAAGAATAAGTTCCATAATTGATTCAGTGCAATCAAATTTAAATTTAGCTATCCTGTTTATCATGATTTGAAAGATTAGAAAGGCAAGACTTTCTTAATTTATTTTATAGCTTGCAAGTACATATTCCCATTAACTTTTGTAGTATGAAAAAGAGGAGCTCAGACATTCTGCCCTTTTATGTTTGATGGAAAAAAACATCATGAAGATGAGTAAATGATGATTTTTTTCAATGATTTATCTCTTTAGATGTCGTATTTATCAACAGTTTCATAGCTTATGGATAATCAAATAATCAAGCATAGCATAAAAAAGTATCAGTTTCAGTATCAGTAATCAAAATGCAAAATACCTCTTCCATGTGACCGATGCATTGACATGGTTGAGAGTGACAGTGATGCTTAAGGGCTGCTTTTCCACCAAATACACAATGTCCGGCTTGTCAGTGATTACAGGAGCCTCCTGGATGTACGGACCTGCAGACAGAGAGATAAAAGCCAGGCTCCTGCAGTAACTCATACATCTCATTGACCCGTCTGACAGCGGCTGTCCTTGTTTGTTGAGGCATACCTCTGTCTAGCAGCTGCACTGGCTCGGTAGCAGGCGACGGCTTGCTAAAGGCCTTGCTGGTGATTGATAGCACCCTGAAGGTGTAGCGGACACTTTTAGACAGATTGGTGATAGTATAGGTGGTCTGTTTCAGGCAAGAGGCGATGATGGTCCACTGGATCGACCCCAGGGCCTGCTGCTGAACAGCATACATCAGGGAGCTAGGATCTGGAAATATAAATCAATCATTTTGGGTTAAGTTTTAAATCTATAACTAAAAAAGGAAATCTGATTATTTATGGATCTAACTTTCCAATCCATTTTTCAATTACACTGCAAGGAGAGGAAACCGTTTTTGACAGTATGGAAGGACACTAAAATTTTAGGGCTTGGACAGTCAATGCAGCATTAAATCTGTGATTGTTTCCCACAACAACACCAAGACATAGAACGTCTGTTGGAAAGCAATAAATAAAATGTTACTGTATAACAGAGCTACACAACTATATTCAACAGGCCCATACTTGGTAATGTGTAAACGAAAACAAGAGCATGTTAGGTCAACCATTCGTGCTGCTATCCAACTAGCATCACTACACTGTTCTTCTATCAATATTTATGCTATATTTAGTTTAATGAGAAGTTGCCAAAAGACAGTGAGCACAAATGAGATCTCTCTAATGGAAGAGTTGGTGCTTTTGAATTATTGTTTCAATTCATTTACCATTAAAGGGGTGATGAACTGAGAAATAAATTTTTCCTTGAGCTTTTGACATCTAAGAGGTCATCATATTATAAGAATATCCTGTAAGTTTCAGAACTGAAAACGTCCTTGTTAGTCCAATAAAAAGCTTTTATTGACACCAGCCTCAGCAAACGACTTTTCAAAGTGGGGAGCTATGACGTCAGAGAGGATAAAACACCACCACCGCAGAAGAAGATCAACGCCTACTTCAACACGGCCGGTTTAGCCCCGCCCACTGATCCGCGCATTACACGCATAGCTAAATAACATAGATTCCTACCTCGTGATGACAAACCGGATCGAGCTACCGAGCAATACAAAATATTGTCCAGTGCCTGGTTGTGGAAGAAGGCAGTCGCTGCATAAGCTTCCTCTGGATTCCAATAGGACTGCATGGATAAACTTTATTTTAATGACGTGTCAGCTGATGAGGTAAAACATTATCCGTCTGTTCACTTCATTTCACTGAGGATTGTTTTGTAAACAAGAGTGGATTTGCAGACCGATTAAGAGTAAAGAACGGTGCTGTGCCGTCTATATTGGATCTGACGGGAATTGTGCAACACGGACTCTGGGTCGAACATGTATGGGGGAATCATTCCGGTTGCCATTTTACAACATTGGATGTTTTCAAAACAATTTCCCCCAAGTGCATCGACGGGTGAGTTGAAACTCATTATAACATGCAAAACTGTTATCCACTCACAACAGTGGACGTTTACTTCCAAGTCTTCAGTGCGAGACGCCCATAAAAACCGAGCGTTTTTCAGCTAGGCTCAAAACTAGGGTACAAAATAGCCTATTACTTATGATGTTTGCTTGGTTTTGCATTCAAAAACATCAAAATGAATAAGTTGACCTTAGACAACAAAATAATACAATTTAAAAAGCCAGTTCATGACCCCTTTAAATGTTGAGAGACTTCTCCATTGGTGTGAAAACGTCCTATAGGGCAAACTAATCCTTTATTAACTCCATTTCTTTAAGACCACAAGAAGATTAGGCAGAGAGGAAATAGAGACTTCTGTTTAAAAGTGAAGTGCAATATTTCTGCAGCACTAATGGCACAAAAAAATAAAAAAGAATTGTAAATTTGAATAATAATTATCCTGTCGTCCATTGGTCACAAAACAGGTAGGGCAAATTACAAACTAACACTTTTGGTTGAGGCTGCCCAAACAAAGATTGCAATTATGCTGCCACTACTGGTGAAAAAAAAAAAAAAAAAAAAAAAAAAAAAATCACACTTAATTTTTTTAAGCCTTGCTTCACCGATTTTGCTCTTAAACCCCCCAGTAATCTCAATTTTGTCTTTAGAGTTTCAGAAGTGATCTCAAACTCAGATTTGTCAAGATACCAACATCTACAATAAAAAGACAGACAATGACAACTCATGAGCATTTTTCATCAAATGATTTCATAAACAAATGATCCTATAGCTCTGTACTCTTCCTGTATATCAAAAAGTCTCTATTTTTTCCCCTTAAGTATTTTAGGAAACATCTGAGACACAGTGGATATTTAGAAGAATCTTAACTGAGAACTCCATTACCCTATAGCTATGAAAGAGCAACCACTGACCAATTAAAATTGTCCTTCGGAGATCTTCAAACCTTTAAATGAGACACGTTACAGTACAAGAACAGTTTCTAAATTAAAAAAATACATAAATAACGTGCATAATTATACCAATGGACGAATCCAGTCTTCTGGGTTTCTTCCAGCTTAGCGTGATAGTCTTGCCAGTGATGGACTCAATGACTGGGGCCCCATCTGGTGGGTCAGGAAGGATGTCTAAAACAGCAAAAGTGTCAAGTTAGAATATTTATTTGCTGCCAGAGGAGTCTCTCACCACTTCTTACACACACATGCATTTGCTTTAGACTTAAAATAAATTGTAGGATTATTTCAAACAGTCTGAGATGTGGGTCAGAGTGTTATTTTCAACAGTCTGGGATATGGAAAAGATCTTAAATAAGCTTTGGTTATTTGATCTGGCTGCTAACTTGGGACTGCCTAACTAATGTTCAAGTTGTCATGCATATCTAGCAGAAGCCATGAAGATATTAAACTCACCTGTCACATAAAGATGAGCATAGCATGTTGCCTTGCCCACCTTATTGGATATGACACACTTGTAAACTCCTCCGTGTGCATGACAAACAGAGCGGACCACCAGGCTGTGAACATCTCTGACTGCAGAAAAGACAACAAAAAGAACAACGTTATATTCCTGTTATTCCCACAACTCACACAATCATTTCCATAGGGACTGCTTTCTGGAAAGGCTCAGTAGATTGTGAGAGAATTGAATTATGGTATCAACTAACTTACACTGTGTCATTTTTCTGTCCTCAGTGCTATCAATTCTCTTGCCATTGTGAAACCAGATTATGGTCGGGTACGGCAAGCCAGCCACTTTGCACCTGAGCACAGCCTCTCTGCCCTCGACTACATCCAGATCATAGAGCGGCTTGACAAAATCAGGCATGGTGAAACGTTCCACCTCATTCTCAGGCACTTCGGGCTCCTCGGGAATGGAGGGCATTTTTTCCAGCTTTGCTCTGGTAGAGATAAACCAAAATGAATCATAAAAAGATATTATATTGTAATGCAAAACATTTTTGACATTTTTTGATTTATAGGTATAGTTCACTTTAAAATTTGAAATTTTGAAAAGATGTAGGTGTCTTTGTTTCCGCAGTAGTTTCAATTTTGATATTTTTAGGTCAAACCGTTCGTGTCTATCAGTCATTTAATGGAGGTCTATGGTAGGGGTTTCATCAACTAGTCGACTGTCACAACCACTAATTGGCGCTGTTGGCCTTAGTCGACTAGTCGGAAACAAAATGATGACATATATATAGATATATATTTTTTGTTAACTATCCCTTTAAATACAAGCGGCAGTACTACTATAAGGCGCACCTTTAATGGCATATTTTAGAACATTTTTCAAACGTTTGACTGGGTTTGCTTTATGCATCCACTAGATGTGCTAAAGGGAATGCAGCGAGTGCGCGGCGTCGGAGGTGAGGCGTTTATTTAGTAAGCGTGAGCGCGCTGGGGCGGGCACGTTACTTACATTCGCAGCCTGCTGACAGCAGTGTCTGTTCGTGTGTGTGTTAGAGAGAGCGCTCGTGAGCGGGAGACACATATAACCTGATTTATACGAGGTTGAACTGGCCGTGTGACAAAGCGGGCATAAGATGGACACGAGCGCGAGCAATTGATCCATATATAATGCGCTCCGGATTATAAGGCTTGAGAAAAGGCCGGATTGAGAAAATTAAAGGCTTTTAAGTGCGCTTTATAGTGTGGAAAATACGAGTACTACTCTCGCTTAGACCAGCACGCGACGTGTTTAATATAGACGCATATTAGCCTACACCAGATTTTCTCTCAAATGTTTGCTTTCACTTTAGACATAGCCAATTCTGTTTATGTAAACATTGTGTGTATTTAACAGTATTGAAAGATAACTTAGTCCAGTATTCAGGCGCTGTTTGACAGGCTTCTAATGCCTGTGAGCGTCGGGGATATGCCGCGCGCTCAGGAAAGCGCACGTTAGAACAGCGCGTGAATTAAATGTTTAACCGGCAAGGCTTATGCAAACAATGAACTTTTGTGAATTGTAGTGTCCCGTACCAATTCCTTAACGTGTGATGTGTAGGCTACGTCGCGTTGTACAGTTGAGACAGAGGCGCCAGAACTGATAGAATGCACTGTTACACGATACTACTACCATATTTCTTCAAAAGCAGATCGTGGAGACATTTACTATTCGTGATGTCACACACCCCTAGAATAAACCATTTAACGACTAGTCGACTAGTCGTCGACTGTTATGCAAAACTAGTCGACTAGCAAAAATCAGTAGTTGTGAAACCCCTAGTCTATGGTCACCACCTAAAAGAGCATACACAGAGAAGTCCAAATTAAACATGATTTAATGATTCGTAAATGGAAGAACACATTAATGGCCTAAGACACGAAACGAGCGGTTTGTGTGAGAAAACGAACAGTATTTATATCGTTTTTACCTCTTGTTACCACAACACAGGACGTGGGTATGGTTACAAGAGGTAAAAACAAAATAAATACTGTTCGTTTTTCTCACACAAACCGCTCGTTTCGTGTCTTAGGCCATTAATGTGTTATTTTATTTACGAGTCATTAAATCATGTTTAATTTGGACTTCTCTGTGCATGCTCTTTTAGGTGGTGACCATAGACCTCCATTATATGACTGACAGACACGAACGGTTTGACCTAAAAATATCAAAATTGAAACTACTGCGGAAACAAGGACACCTACATCTTGGATGCCCTTGAGGTAAACTAAAACATACCAAACATTAATTTCAAAGTGAACTATCCTTTAAGGAACACTTCACCCAAATATGAAAATTGTCAACTTGAACCTGTCAAAGCACCATTTATGCCCTTGTAAAAAGCAACATATTGGTTTCAGAAGACTCGGAATATGGTGTACAAGTCCTATGGATGACATTATGGTGCGTTTATGGTGTATTTTGTCCTATTTGGAGCTCGACAGCCATTATGAACTGTCCTTATATGGAACGTTACTTGGACAAAATACCAGCTTACAGGTTTGGAACTACATGAGAGTGAGTAAATAATGAGAGATTTTTTGGGTGAAATAACCTTTTAAAGTGGTTCTGAGTAAAATTTAAGTAAAAGGACTTACATTTGAGAGGATATTGCCGGTCTAGGCTCCTGCACATACAGCTCTGCTGCACATTCTGCCTCCCCATATGAGTTATGCGCTACTACTGTATAGAGGCCCTCATCTTCATTACTAACATGAGAGATGATTAACGAGTGCCGTCCTCCTTCTTTTAAGATCCGAATGTCATCGCTTTCCTCCAGAGGATGATCTGTTGAAGACATGACACACAAATGACCCAACCATCTTGATGTTATTTTACAGGGAATGACACTGAGAGGCACTCAAGGGAATTAGACTCATACCAAAGTGGCTCCAGGTGACCCGAGGAGGTGGCGTCCCGCTCACCTTACAGTCAAATCGAGCATTACGACCCTCGATAACTTCCAGTACATCCAGCTGTCGGGTGAAGAGGGGCTCTATGGATGCTATAACCTTTAGCTTGGCACTAGAGGTCAGCTCCTCTATAAATTACATGACATATGAAATAAAGCAGACAGGTTAATAAGGGTCAAGCCACTCTAGCTCTTTTTGTGTACAGCATAAATTATGTCCTTTAAGTCATGTCATCTTGTGTTTGGGAAGGCAACCATGCAAGACACTTCATTATACCAAATCATAGTGATGACAGACATTGGCTCAGGCATTTCAGAATGACCAAACCAACATTTGAGACGCACATCCTCTTTTGAGGCAAAGTCATTGAGGGATTTATTCGGTAAGTGTCTTTCCATTGCACGTTTTCTTATTGGATAATTTTTGGTATCTGCCTCAAGTTATGCACATTTTTAGAAGTGTATGTGCACTTTGGCATTTCAATGCAGTGCTTTTTATGCCATATCCCAAAATCTCACAAAAATATGTGGATGGAAACATAGCTAATGATGTGTTGTTGATATCAAAGTGTATATAAAACCTATACCAAGCTGCTCACCTTTAGCTGTGCTCAGTTTGCAGGTGTACGTTCCACTGTCATCTTCATGTACAGAGTTAAGCAGCAGCCTGCACCTTTTCCCGTCAAAGTGCATCTTACAGTTCAACAGAGCTGGCTGGATAAGTTTCCCATCTGACAGCCAATCAACATCTGTGTCCTGCGGGCCGATCACATGACACTCGAACAGGGCAGTCTCTCCTGCCTTCACCATTACATCCCTCACTGGCCGAATGATGGCCAGGCCTGGCTCTACTGGACGAGCTGGAGTAAAAACGATAAAGATAAGTGTGGAAAAAAAATCCTTTTGAGGAAATCCAGAGAAGCTTAAAGTGCACTGAGTCTTTGCATGTGTTTAATCTGCTGCAGATGTAGCCTGTTAATAGCTTGTGCTGTACAGCAGAGCAGAAATATTAGATGAATACGCTAATACATTGTCTGTCAGCATAATCCGTTCACGGCTCAGAACGGATCAGCTCAAAATTATACCCAGAACTCAACATGGCCAGACTGTATTTTGGCTTTTTCAGACTACTTAAAATGATCAGTATACCAAGGTAAAGTATATTATAACAAGGTTGCATTTATCTGATTGAAATTGAATAAAAATAGTAATATTGTGTGATGTTATTATAATTTAAAATAACCATTTTCTATTTTAATGTATTATTTCTCTGTTGGCAAAGCTAAATTTTCAGCAGCCATTACTCCAGTCTTTATGGAAGCTTGTTTCCGTCACACAATGAAAAATAAAAAAGGGAATTGCGACTTTTTATCTCACAATTCGGACTTTTTCTCGCAATTGTGACTTTATATCACGGAATTCTGACTTTACATCTCGAAATTCTGACTTTATTTCTCAGAATTGCGAGATGTAAAGTCAGAATTGTGAGATATAAAGTCAGAATTGTGTGATATAAAGTCGCAATTGTGTGTTATAAAGTCAGAATTACAAGATATAAAGTCAGAATTGCTAGACATAAAGTCACAATAGTGTGTTATAAAGTCAGAATTGTGAGATATAAACTATTCTGAGGGGGAAAAAAGTTAGTCTTTAGTTAGTTTTTCCCCTTAGAATTGGCCTGACAACTCGCAATTGCGAGTTTCTATCTCACAATTCTGAGAACAGATGTCATCATTTCGACATATAAACTTGCAATTATGTGTTATAAAGACAGAATTGCGAGATGTAAACTTGCAATTGTGAGAAAAAAAAGTCAGAATTGTGAGATAAAAAGTCGCACTTCTGTCTTTTGTTCTCAGAATTGCGACTTTATGCAATTCTGACTTTATATCTCACAATTGCGACTTTATTTCTCACAACACTGACTTCATATCTCGCAATTGTGAGATTAAAAGTTGCAATTATTCATTTATTGTTTTATTCAGTGGCGTGCAACATGATCCTTTAGAAATCATTCTAATATGCAGATTTTGTTTAGATGGAAGTTTGAATATCTTTTTTAAATTATTGACCCCTAACTTTTGAACACTAGTTCACTAAATTAACTGCAAATCTTGTTAATCATCCAAGGTTGCAAAAAATGCATTGAACAGCAAGACTGTTATTTTTTTATTAGTGCATAGAAATCATTGTACAAGAATAAAATTGTATTAAAACAAGGCATGCAACAATCTCTTCTGTAATCATGAATGCACTTCTCATGTAAAAACTATTCAAACCATGCAAAATGACCCAGAGGTCATTCACGTGTAATAAGGCCAGACAATTACAAGCCGACACAAATCTAACAGTACGCATTTAAACACATTCACTGACTAACCATCAAACACTGAAATCATCTTGCTGCATAAATCATTTGGAAAATCCTATTTATTAAATATTAAAAAGGTGATCATTTGCATTGGGGAAGCTACTTTGCAAAGCTACAAACTGCTCATAATGTAAAGTACCTCAACTACAGTGATTTTCGGGGTAATGAATTATGAATGGCTTACTTATAGTTGTCTATGCATATTAAGCTGGGAAAGAAAAAAAGCATTTCAAGAAAAATTGCACACATCGGGCCCTATTTTAACGATCTGAAACGCAAGTGTCAAAGTGCAAGTAACTTTGTGGGCGGGTCTTGGGCACAATTGCTATTTTGCCTCTTGCGCCTGGCGCAAATCTAAAAGGGGCTGGTCTGGAGGAGCTTCACTATTCATAGGTGTGGTTTGGGCGTAACGGAAATATATGTCACATCACATTCCTTTTAAGAGAATGATGAGCGAGGTGCGCTTGTTCCATGGCGCAATTCTATTGTAACGGCGCATTTACCATCGGTTCACAGCCGAGGAGATCGATGTTCTCGTCAGGGCCGTAAAAGAAAGAGAAGTGACATTGGGGATGGGACTAACCCACCCAAATTAGCTTCGGTTAAACATGCATATAATAATTTGGGTAAATATGTAAGCTTTAGGCCTATTTTTCCCATCGTCATGGACACAACAATGATTTCCCTCATGTTTTTACTGTATATTTTTCCTTAAAATAATGTATCATTTCCAAAAAGTAAAATGCATCTGTGTAGCTGAGAGATTGTTTGCACCGACACAAGCCTCCTTTTTGCCCCAACCCGCCCGGGGAGCGCAAGTTCATTTCCTAGTTTACCGACGTGCGTCTGTGGAGGGAAAAAGCCTGCTTTGAGCGGGTGCAAAATAGGAATGATAAATGTGTCAGTGTATAAAGTCATTTGCGCCGGGTGCAAGATAGAGCCCATAATCTTAAAGCAAGCAGAGATATCAACACTTGGCCTCCATGGTTTATCGTGCTTATGATTTCCAAATGAACACAAACCATGCATGACTGCTGCAGCTGAAGCCCTTACCTTTCACCTCCAGTTTGCCCTCACACTGCTTCGTTCCATACTCGTTGATGATCTTGCAGGTGTAAACTCCGGTGTCTGACTTCTGTGCTGATTTAATTACCATCTCAAAGTTGCCCTCCTCTGTCCCACGGACGATATGCCGTGGACCCGTTTTAATGGTCACTCTGTCTCTCAGCCTGATACGAGGGAAAATAAATTTGTCATGTCACAGTCCATAAAGAAATGAATGAACGAACAGTCCACTTTTTAAATCTATATTACTGTATGAATTATTTAGGTAATTCTTTATTTCGATAGTCCACTTTCAGGCTTTCTACTAACTGTATGTAATTGTGTAACTAGCAGACATTAGAACATTAGTAGTCTGTCTGTTTAATATCTAACTCTTTTAGATGGTTCCCCAAAAGCAGAGCCGGACGGTACCGGAGTACACTTACTTGATTACAGTACATAAGTACAATTTTGAGGGATCTGTACTTTACTCGAGTATCATTTTTGGGGAGTACTCCTGACTCTTTACTTTACTCATGAATACTCATGACTTTACTCAATTTACATTTGAAAGGAATTATTGTACTCTTTACCACAATACATTTCTATCCATAACAGTGAGTAATTGTTACTACTTGTAAAAAAATAAAAAAAAATGGAAAAAATAAAAATCTCGGAAACCCTCAATTTGATGTTTCCCTCTCAAACGTGATTGGATTGTGAAGGTGCCACTGATTGGGACAGCCAATCAGCAATCACCTTCAGCTTTCCGCCAAAGTCAACTCCATGGCCAGATTTAGATAAGAGACGAAACCACGGACGTAACAATGGATGAAGACGCAGCAGGTCCATCCCGGGAATGTGCCAACCCATGGCCCCACCTCGCCAGACTATTTCAATTTTCTGAATTTTCTGAAATTTTCTTAAATGTTAAATTAAGCAACATGGTAAGAAAATGAAAATGACTTGATTTTACTTTTACAATATCTTTTACATTCTTCAAGGAAAAAATATTAACATTTTTCATAACTCCATGTACACTGTTCTATTTAGAACCAGAAATGGTTCCATCCCCTGCTTCATAATATGGAACTCCAAAATGGTTCTATTTAGAACCATTTTTTTGGTAAAAGGTTCTATTGACCAAGTATGGAACCCCAGGGTTCTATATAGAACCCAGAGTAACCCTTTTTTAATAGTGTATAGAACCTTTTAGGGGTTCCAAATACGTAGCGCTGATAGAACCTTTTAAGATTCTATATAGAACCTTTTCTTCTAAGAGTGTAGGACGTTTCTGTACATAAATGTCAGCACTGTGGCCGTAGTAATGCAATATTTAGAAAATGTATTCAAGTACTTTTAAAAACAAGTACTTCGGTACTTTTACTTAAGTAGACATTTGACTGTAGTACTTTTACTTGTACTTCAGTAAAATTTAGCAAGGGGTATATGTAGTTTTACTCAAGTAAAAAAAGCTGTGTACTCTGCCCACCTCTGCCCAAAAGACATTCTACTGACTATGAGTAACTTTGCAAGTACATGTTAACTTATTCTATTAACCTTAACCAAACATTCTATTAATACTCTAATGAGAGTTAGCTGACATGTAGTTGCAAAGTCACTTATAGTTTTTTAAAGTGGACTATCGAAATCAAGTGTAATCATAGTCATCTAGACAAATAAAGGTAAAGTTTGAAGTGTGGAACTCACCAATAAAGCATGGGTTTTGGCTGTCCACTCACTCGAACAGACATGGTCACCTCTTGACCTTCTATAACTGTTTGCTCTCCAATAACAACCTGTTATGTTGGTAAACACACAGAGGCTCATTTTTAACTAAAAATATCAAAAGGCAATGTGCAGTTAATGGTAAAAATATCCATCCAAACAGCATTTCCAGGTTTTCCAAAATAGAATAGCAGAAGAATTGTCATGTTTTAGTTTATTCAGAATATGTCCACATGATAACGTGTACATGAATATTCCAATCTATATTGAACATCTAAACACCTTTTCCAGAATAAAGGCTTAAAAATTAATGAAGTGGGTTTTACATGAAGTGCGTACGAGCTGTGCATGTAAAAGTCAATTCTGACATAATATTTTAACATCTCTGTCTCATTCTCTGATACCTGAAAGGCTGGAGGCTCCTTGAATCGAGTGTCCACGATCTTCCTAGGCTCAGGTCCTCTGTAGGAGGAGAAATCCATCCCCTCCTCAAGAGGACTGAGATACTCCTCATCAGATGTGATGGGACTGCTGATGTCCATGGGTACACCAAGGTTCCCACGCTGGTCCTGACTGGGATCTGTGAAAAAAACACCAATAAGATTGGAATGGATTTGGTAACACTTTACTTGAAGGGGTGTGCATAAGACTAACATGACATGACATATGTTATGAATATGAAGGAAGTTTTATGCATGTTTGTGACAACTGTCATTAAGTGTCATTCGCTCCAGTTATGACATTTTTAATACAAATATGACATTGTTTGAGATGTCTTTGTTATGACACCAATACATCATAATCTGTCAGTGTCTTTGTCATGACAACTTGACATTACTAAGACAACACAACCCGTCATAAACATGACATAGCAGATTAATGATCAAACTTAAGAAACCACCTAGCTTTATTGGTTAACTTTACATTAAACTGTCAGGTGGTTGGTTTTGACATTGGCTGTCATGAAGCCATTATAACTCTTTAATGACAAATTCAATTTGTACCACTGTAGTTGAGGTCACAAAAAATATTCATGACACAGTTATAATGCCTCATGACAGCCAATGTCAAAGCCAACCACATGACAGTTTAACTTAATTTAATGTCAAGTTGTCATGACAAAGACACTGCAGGTTATGATGTTATGGTTTATGTCAAGGTGTCATAACAAAGACATCTTAAACAATGTCATATTTGCATTGAAAATGTCATTATTGAGTGAAAGACACTTAATGACAGTTGTCATAAACATGCATAAACCCTACTAACATATTCAAGACATATGTCATGTCACTATAATAACACTATACAAAAATAACACTATAAAACAAAACTGCAGAACAAAATGTTTTTTTTTTTTTTGGTGGGGGGTTGGGTTCAACATCACAGATGTGAAATTCACAGAGAATTACGACAGAGAGAAATGGATTAGAAAGGTGAAGGGTAAAAGACATGAGCCGAGAGAAAGGATGCTGTAATCCCAAATCCAATTTCATAAAGGTCCAATGACGATGGGAATGCCAGTATAAGGGACAGATTGCTTTCAAAAACAGAAGACAAAGAATATATACCCAGAAGGGTAACCAACAACAACATTGTTATGCTATAGGACATTTTTTTAAGGATTTTCTGTGCAGATGATCAGAAGAGATGAATTTCAAGCTGTATGCATTACACTCTACAATTTACAAAAGTAAACAATACTAATCAAACCTGACAACAAAAAATTGGAGTGATTGCTGCTATTTAATTTTAAATGGTTAGATTGTCAAATGTACACTTATGTTTAAGTAAGGGTTAATGCCCGACGAGGTGTCCATTGTCAGGTTTTAATGGACGACGGCGAGGCGTAAACCGGCCGACGTGCAGCGGAGGACGGTTGCCTCCGCCGAAGTCCATTAAAACCTGACAATGGACACCTCGGAGGGCATTAACCCGCTTATACCATGGTCACTTGCCAAATAAAACATTTTTAAACATTAGTTTATATTTTAATTAGGCTAAATCTAGTTTTTACAAATAATAACTTGCCTTGCCTACTGTTTATTTAGCAACCGGAGATATTTAGCCTATAGTCCGCTTAGCTCCCTTCAGGTTCACAAATGCATTTTTTTTTTTCATGAAACACAAAGGTAGGAATAGTTTTTTTTTTATTACACATAAAACAATTAATCAAACAACAATAAAAAAACAATTAGCTCTGAGCTCCAGCGATTTGCGCTTAACGTTATAGAGGGCAATAAATTAATCAGATCAAAGAGAGGGTCATTTGCCTCAGGCTCCTTAGGCTTGAAACGCTGTAATGTTCAGTCTTCTCCTGCCTTGGTTGTCTGGACAGCTGCGTAAAACTCCCGCAGGGTCTCATTCAGGGGTGCGTTTCCCGAAAGCAGCGTTTTCCAACTATGGTCGCAAGTTACGTCGTTACCAATAGAGTTCAATGGAGCAGAGCAGCAGCGGTGTAATTTTCTCCGTTTTATTTACATTTTTTCTTTCTTCAGCAGCATACCAGTCGTCAAAGTTGCCATATTCTCCATAAATGTTAAAAGAAATAGCACGAAGTCGCTCATTGTTGTATTAGGCTATAATATCTAACGTTAGATGATAGAGCATGTGACTGCCTGTTGCTATGGTTACTCACAGCCGTTGTAGGCAGCGCATTTATTTATTAATTTCGAATGGTAAACAGGCAGTTTCACCAGAACTACTTTACTAGGTGTCCTCTATCACTTTTTAACGGCACTTTTTCACCCTGCAGCCAATCAGAATCGAGTATTCACCCAGACCATGGTATAACTTTAATTAATCTAGACATATCACATTAAAACAAAACTCCTTATGAAAACAAAATGTGCTTGTGTACACCTAAAAGTGTTGACAAATATTGACAAATATTTCAGTAGATCATCTCTTTCAGAATTCACATTTGACAAAAATTATTGATGACTTGTCTCGTTTTAATACCACCTGCCAAGTAGGATGTCCTATGATGTAAACTAAATGCTATGGGCTATTTTACCCTGTACTCCTTCTGTAAGTCCCATTTCAACTTCCTGTTTCAACAAACGGGAAAGAAAAAAGTGCTTGCCAAGCCATTTCATGGTGTCTTTAAGTTGCATCCATTCAATCTAAAACTAAACTGCTGATATTGATTTACAAATGGACATACAGAAATAAGCTACAGTACGGAGAGTCGTTCCTTAAGCGAGATACACGTGTAAACACTTGAAACCGTTTGCCGTGAGAGGCCTGAAGCAAAGCTGTGCAGTGAGACTCGGCCATGCATGTACCAGAACAAAAAATAGACACCGTGGCTCTTCTTACAACAGCTTAGAACATACATATACATTACCATGTACTCGGGTATGATTCTAATTTCAAAGCGGTAACATTTTAAAGAACTCCAACGGCTTAAAGACACTGATTCATTTCACTTTTCTCTAAAGAAAGAAAAAAATAATAATACAACTTTTATACAAACAAGGTATCCAAAAGTAGAAACCAAAAATAGAAAAGGATGGTCAAAATCTGTAATATTGTACTATTCTCTGGAAATCCACCATATAAATTCTGGTAGCACTTGTCCTGTTCCCCATGAGATATTACAATAACTGGGCAAAGAACTAGGTACTAACCCTGAACCCACCCCTAAACCTAACCTTAACCATAACCATGAGGTTATCTTCTATTAACCAGTATTCCTAGGCAAGTACAAATAAGTGCACGTACTGTAAAATAAAGCGCAACCCAAATTCTTCAACACAAACCTACCTGGCCCTGATCCTTCAGCCAGACCTCAGCCATGTACTAAGCCGACACCGAGGGCACCAGCACATGTTCAGTCCTGACAGTATTTGTGTTAATATGTCAGCACCTTAGATTTGCACCATAGTGATTGCCCTCAGATTTCAACTGGTAATCTGGAGTAGACACTATGTCCTCCGTACCCGCCCTTGCTCTTTCTCTCTGGCTCTCTCGCTTTCAATAAGACACTACCTCTCACATTCACATCAGAGCAAGCAGATGCAGATGTCCTCCCTTTTTTCCATTCAAGTCAAAGGAACTACCATAAAATACTTCTCATAGCAACCATCCTATTTATATGCCTCTTACAAACTCTCTCCCTTCTGCTGTAGCTCAGCAAACCTATGGTTTCATGAACTGTAAAGAAAATGATTTTTTTGCAGGTCTTTCATCTGTTGATAAAAGCCTTCTTGATTTCTCAGGAACAACTGTCTAGCTGTCGTGTTGTTGTGGAAAATAAAAGGCCTAGTTGGCTAATGGCAGGTTTAACAACAAGCTGTCAATGAAGTAAGGATCCACTATATATGAGATTATTAAGTGATCGTTTCATGGAGGAAGGAGTGCTAAAAATACCCCTGGTATTCACTGCCCTAATAAGGTAAAGCTTCTCTTTCTCTTTCTAACCATTAGAACAAACAAGGGTTCTCTACATAGAAGAATATTAGAATATGTACTCAGACATCTCCATTTCAGACAAATGTTATTTCTTTTTTGCAATTTCTGCAATGATCCATGAATTACTTAAGAATTGAAAAAGACATTACCAAAAAGAAGAAAAAAATACACTAAATAAAATCAAATAGAATAAGTTACTTTATCATCCACAGAGTAGAACTGTATCTTCGGCTTCACCGCTGTCAAACGATTAATCGCGATTAATCGCATCCAAAATAAAAGTTTGTGTTTACATAATATATGTGGGTGTGCTATGTATAATTATTTTGTATATATAAAAATACACACACATGCATGTATATTTAAGAAGAAAAATATTATTTATAAATAAAATATTTATATTTATATATAATATAAATTATATATAAATCTATATACAGTATATACATGAAAATATTTCTTAAATATATACAAGCATGTGTGTGTATTTATATATATAAAATAATTATACACAGAGCACCCACATATATTATGTAAACACAAACTTTTATTTTGGATGCGATTAATCGCGATTAATCGTTTGACAGCCCTAAAAAACAAATGTAAACATTAACCTTACTGTACACTTCAACATACACAAACATAAATAAATTCTCATATGTACATATGAAATAAAACACTGAAGAAACAATAATAATGATGATGATGATAATAATAACAATAGCAATGCAATTCCATACTTTTTTTAACACCAGCAAATGAAAGCTACTTCCATTTGCCAATTCTTTTGTTAAACAAAGCAACTGAACAAAGAGTGAGCAGTGGCTAACTATGACTAACATTTCCATTTTGTCCAGTCTCATCAAACATGTGCTTCCATCTTTTCTTTTCTTTTTACCACTCATTATGAGACCAGCACGGAGTTAAACAATTCATGTCAATTTAACCTCTGGGTTGCTATGGTAACTATCCAGGCAGAACCACAGTAGGAGAACATGGGAGATCTCAAGGAGACAAGGAGAAAGCAAAGAAGCACAAAGAAAATAATAGAGGAGGCAAAACAGAAGCACTGTGCAACCAAACAGAGTGATCAAAACAGAGCTGTCGGTGAGGAAAATGTTTTATGGTTAATTTAACGATTGTTTTGCTAGGTTGAGGGTGATTTAAACACCAACACAAAGATGCAAACCCTGCAGGGCTGCATGTTGACGGAGTGACTCAACGCCTTTGATCCTACATGGATATCTGAAGGTACTGAAATTCACTCCTCTAAGATCCCATACGTTACTCTTTAAACTCCCACATCCTCAACTCAGGCTGGAAACTCAATATGCTCATCCTTGCTGCACAAAAGTATATGCTCGAAAAATGTACTTGGAACCTTCCTCTGCATGGTTTAAAACCAAATATCTAGGCAAGTATATGTTTAAATGGGTGGTTTACTGCTTTTTTTCTTTGCATGATTGTGTTTATAGGGTGCAATATAACATGTATTCGTGTAAGTCTTATTTTTCATAAATTTCACCTTTATTGTAAGCCACTTTCTCCTCTGTCATTTGAACGACCGGTTGACTTCCTGAGTCTATGAAACCACTCTCTCAGAAACAGGCAATGGGCTCAGATTGGTTAGTTTGGGCCGGTGTGTTGTGATTGGCTAAACTGTGTAGTCCGCGTTGTCCGGATACTTCACGGCCATTACATTTACGGGCGAAGTTCCATGTGTTCCTGTCAAATGTAAATAATGGTGACGATACTGCAGTATCAGTATGAGCCAGAATCACTCAGAAAGCGGCGATGAAGAGAGTAAAGCAGAACCTCCCTAAACATGACTCTTACAAAACGTTTCTGAATGGTAATTTGCCTATATTTTTTTAACTTTATACACGTTTGTTTTACGCAATAGCATCAAACTAACTGGCTGCTATTTAGCTACACAAACAGCGTTGGCATTGGTTTACTTTCTTGATCAAATCGAAAAATAACGTAATAAAGTAAATTTACAAAATTAGTACATATAGAAAATTAAGGTCCAAAATGTTTGTACGCGTTTGTCGTAGACACGAAATAGTATCTATGCGCTGGCATTTGATAAAACCAAAACATTACGTCTGAAATTATACATGCAAATACATTTAAGATTATTTAGCCTATTTACAGGTTGTGGCCCTACAACTGCTGCCTCTGGTTTTAAAGTTGGAACTGCTTCATGTTTTAGTAACAGTTTCTTGTTGAATCCGGCATTGAATTCGTGGAGATTCTGGAAGCTGTCTTTCGTAAATGCCCAGCACAGAGAGCTAAATTACGATTGTAATTTTCAGGAACATAATCAAACATCCATTGTTGACGAACTACGTCCGTGGGAAACCCGAACACAGAAGACCTGACAGCTAAAAAATAACACGTTCGATGAGCCGAAGAAATATGGCCTTGCCCTTTTTTTGCATATTCCGGAGGGAGGGTTGATGTAAATGTATGGGTTGGTGATGTCTAAAACCCAGCTGTAGTCCCATTAAACTTAGGCATTAAACTTCCTGATTTTTAAAAGACGTTACATTGAACTTTCAGCGCTGCAACTTTGCAGATACTGTTCATGCACCAACAGCAACATTACACACTATTTAAAATGAAAAAAGTCAAATCGCAATCAACCACCCCTTTAAAATGACCTGATGCTTCTGATTTGATACTATACATTAAAAAAAACCTAATAGCCGTCTTCTAAAAAGATGAAGCTGTGACGAAGAAACCTGAATTCCTTCATTTTCATTGAGATTTTCAGCGACGTGAGTGACGGCAACCATCCTTAGCAGAGTTCAGCTCTTTGCCAATAAAAACGAATGCGATGAACAATAGGAGTGATCTGTCACCCTATAGACCTTATTCGATCTGCGTCATCAATGTTTGCTGCGGCCATATTGTTGACATAGAAAGCATGGTCTGTCAATGGACAAGCGAGGTAGGGTCGGAATTATCCATGGTATTATCACTGTTTTTTTTTTTTTATAACAGCGTGATGGTGTTGTGTAATACACGGCTGTTCTAACAACTGTAATAAGAACATCAAAGTTAGTTTTTATGCGATAAGTTACCGACTGTCAGAAAACGTGAAGGGAAGGAGAAAGGGTTGAGACAGCGCAGGAGAGGCTAGCTAGGATAAATAGGCAAAACTTTCAGCCAACTCCCCTCAGAAAAGTCTGTTCCCATCATTTTACCACAGGTTTCACACATAATCCGTGTGCAATGCGTGTGCGGAGTGTATACGGTATAGAAGCAGGACGCAGTGCTTTATACAGTGTTCTGCGTTTACATTACAGTGCACAACTGATCAACGGCTGTACCACAAACACCCCGCTACTCACTATTTTTATTTTAACACATACTCACTATTTCAACAACGTAAGCCAATTATTTCATGCATTACTTCTATAGACTATATTAAGTTGCTCAAGCAAGTGGTCAAATATGTAACCACTTATATTAAAATCACAAACATTTTAAATGAAAAATTAAAAAAAAAGAAAAAAAAAAACTTTTCTTTTGCACTTACATTTTAATACAACAAATCTTGCATGTCACAAAGCACTTGTTTTTCCACCTCCACGAATGAGACGAGTGTCGTTCATGTTCCCTTGTTGAGGTAAATTGTAGTTTGTACCTTATATGGATACTGTATGATCGAGATAAATATAAATATCCGAATAGGTTACGGCTGGCAATAAGGACGGATCTTTACTTAATGCTATTATTTGATATTGATGTGGGTCCACACACCAATCAAGCTTATCTTCTCTTGATACCGACGAGATGAAGCTCCCCCTCAACTCAAATCTGTGCGCGGCTATGGGCAGCAGGACAGTTGTCATGTCAACAATATGGCCGCGGTAAGCAACTTCCGGTGTTTGCGAATAAGGTCTATACAGCGGTTGAGTAGGAAAGCCAACTAGCAACCAACAGCAGAGCAACATTCTGCCAGTGTGAAGGAACAGCTTCACCGTATAACACTCACCTGGTTTGATGAAAAGAGTAGCGCTGCTGGACACCTCGCCCACCTCGTTGGTAGCGGTAACTGTATATGTTCCTGCATCACTTGGCTTTGTCCATTTGATGAGCAATGAGTGCCTTTCTCCCTCTACCTTTACAACATGGGTTGGGCTGTTCTTGATCTCAATGTTGTCTCTCTTCCATGTTACTGCATATAAAATAAACGTATTTTTTACCTCCAGTAAAAATAGTAAAACAGCTATACAAGATGGACTATTACAGCAGCATTAAAGTACTTACCTTCGGGGAGAGGGGTGCCACTGATGATGCATTTCAAAAGAACCTCTGTTCCAGTGGAGGCCACAGTGTCCTGAAGTGGAAACTCAAACACAGGAGCCTCTAAAGGATCCTCTCCTGCAGACACATACGAGTCATCCGAAGATTCTGTAATAGCAAAAGAGATATGTCAGAACCAATAGATGTGATGTATATCCACCTTGGATATTACAAAGTCAAAGATTTGCATCCCACTGGATATGCCTTAACTTGCCTAATTCAGGGGACATTGGCCTCTGTCTGTGTCCTCTTGCTCTGCTTCTTTGGGGTCTTTCCTCTTTACCAGTGCCACTTTTAACAGCCTTTTCTGGAGGTGTATCTGTCTCCATTGGCTCCTCTTCAATAATAATTTTTGGTATGGTGAGCTTTGGTGCCAATGGAAGAGGAGTCACATCCAGCTCCATCCTTTCCTCAGATGAGGAAACTCTTGGAGGTTTGGCAGGAGCTTGAACAGGGCATTCTTGAATGGCTACAGTTTCTCCTTGCACCAGAGGACTTTCAGGCCTTCTTTCCAGTTTTCTCAGGGTGACTTCTATTGGTGTCTTCCTATGCATGGACTCATTGTCTGGTTGAGGAACTTCCTGAACACGAACAACACGTTTTACCAGTGGACTTGCAGGTCTTGGTTCCAATTTGCGTAATGTCATCTCCAAGACATTTCTGGATGGAGATTCAGCTCTTCCTCGAGAGCGCTCTTCAGCCATGGCAGTTGGAGTCTCTACAGTTGGAGACCTCCGAGGACTATCTCTACTTGGGCTCGGGCCGCGCAGTCTTGGAGATCTTTGCCCGGGTAAATCAGAAAGTGACATGGCCTCTGGTGGGGATGGTTCATGCCCAAATGTGCTTACCATCTTGTTGGATGGGACAAGCAGATCACTTTCAACTTTTTCCAGTGGTTGTTGTGCCAGTTGATCTTTTCGTCTGCGAGACGGTGATTTCGGAGGTGATCTTTCTTTGGCTTGCTCTCTCTCTCTCATCTCTTGCTCTCGCTGAGCACGCTCTCTATCCTGCAGTTTTTGAAGAACCTGAGGTGGGAGGGGGTCTACCTTCTCTATAGGCTGCCTGCTCCTGTGAAAAGTAGAGAGCTGGTCTGTTGAGAAGGATTTCTTCATATGTGGTTTACCGACAAGTTTTTTGATGCGCTGGAGCTCCTCTGTGAACTTGTTCTCAATGTCCAGCACCTTCTGGGAGTAACGGGGTCTGTCCTCCAGGGAAGTAGCCCGCTGTTTGAACATAGTCCTTCTCTGGGCTGCATCTGCCTTCAGAGCCTCACGTAGGTCTTCTTTGGAGCTCTCCCTCGAGATCCCCAACCGGCTCCCTCCTTCATCAGAGTCAATGGACGAGGCTCTATTAAATCCAGCCCAAGAACGTCCGGATATAGACCCCTCTGGGTTATCGATACTTCTTCTGCGCTCTTCAAAAACTCGCACCTTCTCAAAGATCTTGGAGCTAGCTCTCGTCAGTTTTGGTGAGGGCCGAGGTGTAAGTTCCTTGCGGGAATACTCGCTGACGGGGGTTTGCGGTCGAGAGTCTTGAGCACTACTCTGAGACATGCCTGAGGATTTGGGTTGCTTAATCTTCTCCTCAAACTCTCCTGGTACTGTGTCTTGGTATTCAGTTGGTATGACAACTTTCTTGCGTGGGGCTAGGGGCGTGGCAGGGGCCGAACCAGAACGGCTGAGCAAAGGAGAGGCAGTAGAGCGGCCAATTTTGGGGGAAGGGGGTGGTAGGACTTGAGGGGGAGATTCCCTCGAAACTTCTTCAGATGGGCTCCTAAAAGAAGGTGTTTGAGGGAAATGTTCTGTTAGAGTATGGGGTTATGCAAGGGGTGAGCCCAACTGTTTGGATGAGGACTTTGGAAGAGGGGCCAGAGAGGCTAATTTCTCTGATGTGGGATCTTAAATGGGACTGTCTGGATGTGTTTGTGCGCAAGTTAATTCAATTCTACTTCTGCGAATGTCTTAATTTGAGAAATATTTTTTTGATGTGAACCTTCCTAATTTTCAAATTTCAGGAGAGATAAATAAAATCAAAAATGATTATGAGCTTCTGTTAACTGATTAACTGAAATAGAAAAAATAATGTGAGGAGATTCATGAGGGAGAGCATGAATAAAACATATTCCATTAATCTCGGAGTGACAGTCAAGACCAGATTTAAATGTAAAGTGATACTCTACCTATAAGATTAAGAAATCTGAATTCTACTTTAAAACAAATTGTTATTTATTTGTCTTATACTTTACTACACAACTGAATGCGCAGAAAGAATGTAATATTAGCACATGGCAGATTAATTTATGCCTACTAGCCTATACCTTCCAAAATCACTGGACTAGACCACCACACATCACTGGATATCTACAAGAATAAGTCAAGATTCACTTGCCAGTGCTAGGAAGGAAGAGGAAAACAAGAATTAGAGCGGGCACATAACTATTAAATGTTGATTCATCAAAAATACTGTTAAAAGGGGTCAAATTCAAAATGGCTGTGCACTAGAAAATATCTGAAGAGCAGTAAAACAAAAACTTGTTTACGCAGCACAGAAACTGCCATAAACTAGCAGAGCTGATACAGTACTGTGAATCCAATCAGTGTAGCTTCCTTCCCATCCGGCAGTTTGACAAACTAATTCTTGTATTGTATATCCAGTGCACTATAAACATCTCCCATGCAGCATCAAAATCATGCAAAAACAAAGCACAAATTTGGTTAAAACAGAGGATGATCCTTAGAAAATATGTGATGTTAGTAAAGTATGACAAAACCAGCAACTGGCAGTAGCAGTTCTAGATGGTTCACTGTACTATTCAAGATAAATCAATTTACATATGTATCTACGCATGAATATACAGTTTGGCAATTTTTTGGCATTACTTGAGGGAATAATACTCAACACATCACAGTGTTTTAGACTGCACTTTATTTGAGATCATTACCATTGAAACAATGATATTTAAAATTTGCAAAAAAATGACAATTTTTTTTGTACAGAGCATCTCAATCTGAGAGTTCTTACAAGATCTATACCCTCCTATCTTTGCGAGTCACTCAAGGCATCATGTGCATGCATGCAAGAATTCATGCTATGCAGTTCACCGAAAACAGCATGCACAAAAAACCAGGGGGAAACCGAAGGGGTCGATGATACCTAACACAAAAGTGATGCAAGCATGTTTAATGCAAACTTTGTTCAGCTTCAATTTTGCATCGACTGCTGTGCGAGTAGAAAACGAAAAGAATTTGCGTATGGATAATGGGGGTCAAAGGAAAGTATGAACTAAAAGAAAATAAATCTAGATGAGGAATGAAAAGGCAATAACAGTGTGTGAGGGAGGTGCTCTATTATGCTTAACCTTTTTTGTCTCAACCTATCAATATTTTGAGCTACACATTATTAGTTTAATTTTAGTAGACAGAAATTCAAAGTTCTTTAAGAGAGTAATGCTAGGTAAAACTTTGTCAACTTAAACATAATTTTACCATTACGTTTATTATGATGGCAAAGTAAAATGGTAATGTTTTAGTGACATTAAAACAGAATGAGTGTACAGGCAATGGAAGATGCATCACCTTAAGCTTACTCAGCAATTACTATTTTGGAGTTTAAATGCTTTGTCTTCAGATTTAACGGTTTGGCCTACAGCAGCACTTCTACAGAAAGTCTATTCTTAGACTCTTTGAGCAGCTCCTAAAAAATCTGACCTGCACAAAAGGTCATTGTGCTCTCAGCATCTCAGTTTGTACATGATGTGACACAGATCTGACAGAGAATAAGTTGGCTGCTTTAAAGGCCAGATCATTACCTGACATTGCCCTGCGTCTGCCCTCTCTTAGACAGAGCCATGCCTTTCTTTAAGGTTAGGCACAAAAAGGAACAGCCCGTCATTACCAATATATCTCTGTTTAACACATTCATGATACAAATGAGCAGCAAATCAAAAGCAGAACCAAACAACAGGGTGGAAACAACAGAAACTAAAGTATAACAAACGGGTTTAAAAATATGCAAAGCTTGGTATTGTTCAATGCTAAACAGAGTGGAATGAAATTTGAAAATTTGGTTTATAATTGGCTAAGAAAACTAACATTTGAAGGAGAGTTTGAGTTATGTTTGGTGTTAAGAGTGTTACAGTCAACCCTGGCTCAAACATGGGTGAAGAAGAGTGCTTCGTAGCGATGAATGACACAGAAGATACAATAAGTCACCCTCTTTTCTTTTCCAACAATATCTACACTTACACTTCACCTAAAATAAAACTCGTCAAACATCAAATGTGAGTAGATAATGGCTTTTGTCCAATAACTAACAACAAAAAACACGGTTTAAGTTTTATTTTTAAGAATGAAATAAGTGGCACAAGCAATTCAAATCCAAAACATACACGACTACATAGGAAAACACTCATCACGGCTCACACATCTTCAACTTTTACAACTAGATGGATGACTTATCGACTATATGTTGAATATTCCTTGCATTAAGCCACCAAAATCAAAATATGAATACAAATTATGACTCCAGATTGGCTCATCTGGAGTAACAAATCATCTGTGCTGTTTGTCACCAATATGCAGTGGAAAACGTTTTGTAATAAAAAATAACCAGGAATATTTTGAACCCTCGTCAAACCACCACAGCAACAAAAAAAAAGACTCAATCAAATCTCTGAGATTAACATCATTTAAAAGTTATATCTACTGTATTACAATAGGAAATTAATATGAGCATCCACTGAAGTTGTTTAGTGTCATTTTAAATAAGCTCTCCAAAAATGAAAAACATGTATATAAAAAAAACAACTTTTGCTGTGCTGCCACTTGCAAATGAATGAGTCACATATAACTGTAAGGCTTTTGGCAGCTCACACAGCCCTTTCACTCTGTGGGCAGAGCTGAACCTCATCCAAACACAGAGAGCCCACTCACTGTATCTTCTGTCATTCCTGTGGTGATGTAAGCTGCCTCATGGGGCCACCAAAACGCACAGCTCAGATACCAAGAGAGACAGAGGAGGAATTACAGCCTGGGTCTTGTTCTCAGTCCCCTCCCATCTTTAGCACTTCCAGGGGACACCATGTTAGAGCAAGGGTCTCTTGTGACTCTGTGATGGGGTTTGTGGTTGTTCGTCTATTGATGAGGGATCTTTTTATATCTGTGTTTTGGTCTGCTTATTGTGGGCTGTGGCTAATTGCGATTTATTTTAGCTTGGGAAGGTTTACTTACAGGGGTACAGAAAAAGTCCTTCCTCTATAAAGACTGAACGTGCTACCATAGTAATCGCTAGCTAAAGACACACTTTCCTCAGACCCCCAACCCGGTCGGGATAGATTGGCGCGTGACGCTCGAATCAGAGGCTCGACCCCTAGGTGCCTGATCTGGGTGCCCGTCGGCTCCCGGCTGTTGGCTTGCCTGGCTGATTGCGGCCCCGGAGCTCTTGATCCCAGGGCTAGAGCTTCTTTCTCCAACACTGTGGTCTCACCAGCGGCCCAGCGATCGCTCGCACCCGGGGCGACATCCATCATTCTCTCACCTGCGGGGGAGCCGAAATGGGAACAAACAGAGTACATTTAATTTGAGGCAGGATGCTCGACGTACTAGCGTTCACAAGTCATGGGCGTATTCATCCACATAACCAAGAAATACAAACAATAGAAACTATTTTCTCTAATTTTTCCCTTTTGCAAACATTTTCTTTAAACAACATAAAATGCTCCAAAAAGCTAATATTTATTAAAGGAGTAGTTCACTTTTAAAAAAAAAAAACTTTGCTGATAATTTACTCACCCCCATGTCATCCAAGATGTCCATGTCATTCTTTCTTCAGTCGAAAATAAATTAAGGTTTGTCTCCATATAATGGACGTCAATGGGAACCAAATGCTTCAAGGTCCAAAAGACAGTTTCAATGCAAACTGCAAACTGTTCAAAGGGCTTTAAACGATTCCAGACAATGAATCAAGCGAAACAATCGCTCTAAAAAATAACAAAGTTTAAGTTTTATAAGCTCAAATGGTCACCTTGCTCTGTTCTGTGACGCACGTTCGTGACTCTCCTGTTCGGACTCGTTCATCAAAATGAACGAATCTTTTTCCGAGTAAATTCGTTCATTTCGTTCATTGAATCAACCAAATAATACGAAAAAACATTCGTTCATTTTGATGAACGATTTCGAACAGGAGAGTCACGAACGCGCATCACAGAACAGAGCAAGGCGACTATTTGAGCTTATAAAACTTAAACTTTGTTTTTTTTTTTTTAGATGAGCGATCGTTTCGCTTGATAAGACCCTTATTCGTCGTCTTGAATCGTTTAAAGCCCTTTGAACAGTTTGCAGTTTGCACTAAAACTGTCTTTTGCACATTGAACCGTTTGGTTCCCATTGAAGTCCATTATATGGAGAAAAATCCTGGAATGTTTTTATCCAAAACCTTTATTTTATTTTTTTCAACTGAAGAAAGAATGACATGGATAGCTTGGATGACATGGGGGTGAGTAAATTACCAGCAAACGTTTTTTTTTTAAAAGTGAACTACTCCATTAAAGGTATTATTTATTATTGGTCATATCATGTTTTCTAATTTATTGCACTTAAATAAAAAAAAATAATAAATTAAAAAAAAACACAACTTTATAAACCAAAATGTGCTTTGCAAACTAAAAAAGACCTTTTATTGAAACAAAGCTGCAAAAATTATTAATCAAAAACCACAAACTGTTTAAATCTTTATTAGACTCGACACACAGCAAACTCGTGTTCAAAATTTTTCACATTTTTTACATGCAAAGTGGGAATTTACATAAAAGTCTAAAAGAACAGTAGCAATAAAAACTAATTATAATTATAAGAGAGAATGGAGAATGGTTGTGAAAAGGAAAACTGACCATTTTGACATTTGATTATAACTGGACCTCAGACCTACAACCTCAGAATGAGAGATTGAAAGAACAATAGATAGATACACTCTAAAAAATGCTGGGTTGTTTTAACCCAATTTTGGGTCAAATATAAAAAAACTCAAACATTGGGTTAAAAATGTAACTCAGTGGCTGGGTTTGTCCATATTTGACCCAAAATCGGGTTAAAACAACCCAGCATTTTTTAGAGTGTAGAACGAGAGATTTATAGAATGATAGAATGACAGATAAAACCCTAGATAGACTGAAAGACAGAACGCCAAATATGCTAGAATGCTAGAAAGAAAAGGAAAACGACAGAAAGAACGATGTATAATGTAAGGGAGTTATGCATTCAGAGGTGTGATGAATAAAGCCCAGGTGAGGCCTTTCAGCTGCAAGCTGCGTTGAAGCAAAGTCTGATGCCTTCAGAGCCCGTGTAATTCACAGTGACTGAATGGATTAGACTGCAGTCAGGAAGCATCCATCAAAATCAATGACAATGGGCCTCCGCCCACCTCTCTTCGCCTACCATAACAGATCAAATCAATCACTTACTCCACTACGGAAATCATACGCTCCACCAAATCCTGACGCATTTATTCCTCCTGTATCTCTTTGTTGGTAAAATTGTTGACTTTCATTTTTCAGAAAGTCTTTGGATCTTACAACTGTATCTCATGCGTTGTGAAGACAAGAGCATCATTCATATCAGCGCTAATGACAAACCAAAAATTTACAGTGCAATTCAAGCTCCATTGCTTGTGGTGCACTTTTCTAAAAATCTATCTTTGTTGAAAACTGCGTTGACACAAGATAAATGAATTTCAATGTTAGACGCTGAGATCAAAGTGGATATTTATATACAGGGCATGTTGTTCTCAAAACTTTCATTTCTCAACTGCAATCGAATAAATATCACTCTAATTTCTTCTCTTCTAATTTCTCTCTCGCGATGATGAAAGAAATGGACCCAGTCTGTAAGTGTCTCAAATACACACCCAACCACTTTCCCCAAGGGATAATGCGAAGGCTTTTGTCATGATACGTACTGACAACTGAGAGTTCAATTGCCTAGAATCCGCAAATGGACTAGATAGAATCAAGAGAACAGGCCTCATATTATTATCTTTGTAAACACATCCATGCTTCTCCTCTGTTTAAAGACAATTTATATTCATGAATCTCATCAAAAGTTTTTCTTAGACACAAAAATAGAAAAAAGGTGTAATGAGGCAAAATATTCAAAAATCGACCACGTTTGACCTCCAACCAAGAATGTTTTTGTGTAACACATTACATCAGATTACATGCATACATAATATTGTGATCTCATTAATATTCATAGGTTTTCATACTTAAAGTGTGGTGCTAGCCAGCCCGTTCTCATTCTTTAGCGTCACATAAAACGCTATATGACAAAACGGCGCTATACTACCGACATGGCACCCTTTATCATTAATATAACACGCGAACCCAAGACGTTATAAATCCTTTAGCGTGAATATGACACGCAGACCCTACCCCACACCTAAACTTAGCCCTCACAGCGCGTGTTATATTATCAATAACGGGTGCCATGTGAGTAGTACAGCGCCGTTTTGTCATTTAGCGTTCTATATGACGCTAAAGGATGAGAATGCGTTGTGCTAGCACACATACGTTTTTGGATAGACACTAAGGGCCAGATTTACTAACAGCTTGCGCAACTTTTTGAAAAAGATACTTTTAAAAAACTACAGTCAAGATTTACTAAACACACACAGTGAAAAATTAGCGCTGAAAAGGCGTAGACATGCAAAATGTATGGGAGGAGAGTATTTAAATGAATCACGCAAGGTTTGCGCTAGTCATTTTACTGGTGTTTGTACCATTATGCAATGCCCCAAAAACGCATGTCTTAAAACATTCGGTATTTTACAATTAAAGCCCTGTTTTAAGATTGTTTCTGATGAAATAGTATGGCTAATAACGTTTTTTAGACAAATGCTGCTGTCCCGAGAATTTAATGAACAATCCTTCATAAAATGCATAAAACTTTAGTTTACGAAGACTTGAAACTCACCGAGTGGTCTGGGGTGTTGACTGACATGCTCATACAAAAATCGCTGCAAAAGATGCTTTCCAACAGGTGTTTTACCAGTCGTAAAACTGTAGACCTATTTTTCCAAATGCCTCATAACCGTACATTCTTCTGTTAAGAGCTTGAATAATAGACACTCCAGCCCAGTTGGTGGCGATAATGCACCTTTGCCAATTGCAAGCAAACCACTTACGTCTTAGCCTACGATACCGCGACTGCATTAGGCTACGTCCACATTAATTCGGATAGATTTGAAAACGGGGTTTTCGTTTAAAAACGCTCTCCGTCCACACTAGCGTTTTCAGGCGTTTTCCGACGTTTCAGTGTTGATGAGAAACTTCTAAATTCACTTTAATGCGCATGCGTGAAACTTCCCAAAAGCTCACTGAGATGATACAGATGGGAAAATAAATAATAATGTTATCGCACAATAACAGGATAATTTTATTTGGCAAAATATCTCACCATCACGGATGAATCCAGGTCGCATTCAGTCACCATATGTTTGGTCTAAAACCCAACTGCTCTCCTGTTTTGCCGCAGGACAGCAAATGTGAGTAAGCTACATTATCTGTCATCTTTGCAGTGCTGTGCTATGAAGAATAGCACATATTAAGTAAAATAGAAAGTAACATATTTTAGCAATAGTGTAAAAATGAATAACACATAACAGGCACAATACCGATAAACATGAATATCTATTGGTACTACATGGATCACATGACTAAACTTACGTCATCGTTTTGAAATACCTCCGGTTTTACCGTCCACACTACAACGCGAAAAATGCCGTTTTCAAATTTATCCACTTTGGAGAGCGTTTTCCAAACGATACGTTTTTGTTGACTTAATACGAGAGAAAAATATACGTTTTCAAACTAAAACGTATTAGTGTGGACATGGCCTAAGACTACAGAAAGACTATAAACAACCCCATTTACGTTTCCGGCGGCGGAGTAGTACCATACATCAACGTACCAACACATTCTCAACCCAAGGCGTCATATACGACGTTTTTTCCAAAGCGTAGACATCCAACACACATGGCACCCCATCGGTTATGGTAGGTTTAGGTATGGGGTAGGGTTAGGGTTAGACCACTAGGAGGCGCCTTCTGCCCCATATATATCTGCGTTTCATTTAATGCCAAAGGGTGCCATGTGCGTTGAATATCTACGCTTTGGCAAAAATAAAACCTGTTGGAAAGCATCTTTTGCAGTGATTTTTGTGTGAGCGTTTCAGTGAACACCCCAGACCACTCGGTGAGTTTCACGTCTTTGTAAACCAAAGTTTTATGCGTTTTATAAAGTATTGTTCCTGTGCACCTATGCAACCATTGTAGAGATGTGGGGGTGCAACCACAGAAACTGAAAATTCTCGGGACAGCAGCAAAAAACAATCACAAAAACAATCTTAACCATTGTATTTCATCAGAAACGATCTTAAAACAGGGCTTTAATTGTAAAATACAGAACTTGTCCTTTAAACCAGATGCTAATTTGCACTGCTCTAGGTAGATTGCGTTGGTCATTATGGAAATGATCCGGGTGTATCTGTGTTCATTTGCACGTCGCCAGTAGATCACTCGCAGAACTTTCCACTCCTATCCACTGTGACGGCCACACACTGTTCGATTTCAGCAAGGTAAAGCATGCGATGTAAAGCCAAGCTTCACAATTCATTTGCTCACACTATACGGTCTGATCTTTGAGCTGCGACTTGACTGCTCACACAATACATGTGAAATATGCGCGATAAACCCATGCAGGGTTGTGCAGATAGCTAGATGATACCCAGAGATATCGTCCAAAGCATTAGCTATCAATATCAAGAGTATTTAGCATTTCCAAGCTATCTATTAAATTATTATTGGAGGCCAGAGAGCAGTGAGAGAACAGCGGGAGGCCGGTTGATTGACTGATAAGGAGAATCACCTCTGCTGAACCTGGTCATATAACATATCCGTTACAGATGAGTTTCGGAAGCATAAAAGGAGGAGCGACGACAGTGAGGGAGCAGGCCTGGAAAATTATACATTATGTTATACATTATATACATAATTATACATTATGTTTATGTGTGTGCACGGCAGTCATTTGTGGCTTGCAGTTGATGCGTGAGCTTCTGTTTGCTCCAACCTCTTTATTTATACTCCTCTGGTCTTAGATGCGTGATAAGAAATGCCTAGAGATTTACTATAATGTGTGATTTATATCTGAATGATCTGCTAAAAACATCTTAAATAAGCATAATGTGTGATCTAAGTCACCTTAATGTTAACTAAGGCTATTGCTGTAAAAGTTTACATCAAAAATCACAGATAAACAAGATTTTTTCTATTTAACATGAAGCATGAATATTTCACGTCTCATGTCTTTCCAAACCCGAATGCTGTATGCATGGCAGTTGATTGTGACCAAGCATGTTATAATTAAAAATAAACAAAAATAAATAAAGAAATAAAGCCACAAAGAACTATATATATTAAAAAGGCCTTTTGACTCTAGATTTCAAGTCTTCTGAAGCCATAGGAAAGATTTGTGTGAGGGTCAGACTGAAATCTAGCTCATTATTCATGAAAAGGTCATGTTCACAGATGAGAAACAACGTTCTGTGCGGTCAACGTGCCATTGTTACATCAAAACTATCGTGTGGCGGTAGAGGACCCGGAATCTATCGCACAAGTTGTATAATGGCTCGGTACGGTACTCGGAGTGGTACGGTACGGTACAGTTCGGTTTGGTACGCAATTATTTGCGTTTCCACTGTCAAAAGTTGTGAATGGTACCAAAAAGCCGAACCGTACCGTACCACTTTTTGGGTACCCTTTCGTTAGGGTACCTAGCACAGTGAAAGGGTACTAAAAGGTGGAGCTAGACTCACTGCAGAACGGTGATTGGTGGACAAAGTATCGTCACTCACGCGTGCTACAAGGGCATTAGAAGCATACAGTTGAAATATAATTCTACTGTTATTGTGTCACGAAATGTAGTTTTAAGACTTTTTCAGGCGAGAAAGTACTTTTTTAGAGATCAAATCTGTGGTTTATTTATAGATTTTTGATAATTTGACTGAGATCCATTCCAAGCGATCACCGGACGCTCGCGCTCGTGTCCCCGCCTGGAACAGCCTTTCCTCGGCTAGTCGTTCTGATGTTTGCCGCTGACTCGGACGTCTCTTTAGTGGTTAAACATGAGATATAATTCGTCTTGTATAAACCTAACAGGTGATCTTTGGTCTCGTGAATCTATAATTCGTTCCCTGGCCAATAGTTTTGGCAGAAGGCTACGTGAAGTTTCATATCTTTGAGCGCTGAATTTGTAGTCCTATATTTGACTGACTGAATTCATTGTTTCTTGATATTATTTAAACTTTACTGTATTTTGTACCTTTTACTTATACTTTTATAATGGCTATCATTGATTAAACTGAAATTCAACAAAAAGAGATAGTTTTGTCATTTTTTTACATTTTATTATCATCTGTAATGTTGTTTATTGCAACATTTGTACCAATGCGATATGCAATACATTACATTACATATTGCCTGGAATATGTTTAATATTTTTAAATTTAAACGAAAAGAGGCAGGGTTGTTTTATATTTAGTTTTGTTATAAATATAACGTTACATGCAGTGATAATCAATAGGCTATGTGTTGCCTGAACCACATTTATGTGCTTTAGAATGTTTAAAATGTATTGAAATGAAATCGAAAAGAAGCAGAGTGGTGTTTTAAAACATATTTCGTTTTATTGTTGCCTGAAATGAACATACAGAGATAACCGGAGTCGCAGAGCCAGAGCGAGCAGAGTGCCGCGTTCAAGAACGCGCTCTTCCATTAACAGAATTACTGGACTTGCGTCCTCGGGATCATTCTCCTGAGCCGGATTTTGCGTTGGCTTCTTGGAAACGCCTAATGCCAGCGCTTGTTTCTAGCGACAAACATGCCGAGAAGCAAGAACAAACAAGATCTGCTGTCTGTCATCCATTGTTGTTTACTATGTCGCTTTCTTCGCGCGAAAATGACGTCGATCGCTTCTTTCCAGTATACCACGCCTATCAAGTAAGGGTACTGTTGGCGGTGGAAACGCAAGCCTGATCATGGTGTACCCGACCCGTACTGTACTGTACCGTATCGTTCCGTACCCCTCAGTGGAAACGAGCCATAAGACTTTTGTTATGCTTTTGCTGTTTTTTAATGGGGTTTTTTGAAGCTTGACAGCTGTGGTTGCTATGAACTGCCACTGTTAGGAAAAGATTGTCCTTTTTGTGTGCCACAAAAAAAAAAAACAGAATAAAAACTGTCTTGTCCTCCCTCCAGGATGTCATCATAAAAAAAATAAAAAATAAACAAATAAAATCACAAAACCCACACACTCACAATACAATGTCTTTTCAATTTGGTACAGACCTCTAGGCACCTGAACATCCAGGAAGAAATTCGCATCTCCATCAATAACAGTTAATGGCCACAACTGTGTGCTCTATTACTTTTTACTGTTCAATATTATATCAGGCATAATGCAATAAAAATGTACATTATGTAATATTCATATAGTTACACCGTTGAAACACGATGCATACGTCTATTAATTTTCTGTTTACTCAATCTAAATGCTTATTCTCTTGCACTGTCTCTTGTATTTAATATATGTAAGTGCTCAGAGTTCCTGTAAACTATTTCATTTTCATTTTACTGGGAAAACTATTCCTTTAATGGCTAAGGGGTTTGTACAGTACAGTACAAACACTACCGTTCAAAAGTTTCAGGGTGGTGAGATCTCTTTATGTTTAGTCTCTTATGCTCACCAAGGCTGCATTTAAAAACATTCAATTAATATTTTAATAAAGGTAACAGTAATACTGTGAAATATAATTACAATTTGAAATAAATAACTGTATTTTAAAATTTCATTTATTCTAATGATGGCAAAACAGAATTTTCAGCTATAATCAGTGTCAAGTGCTCATTCAGAAAATCCTTTTAATATGATGATTTGGTATAGCCAGCCATTTTAACATGTAATCCTTAAAACGTACGATACTAGAACTTATTCACTAGTCCATATTCCAATTTTGTCTAGTATTTAATAATACTTAAAGGAGAACTCCGGCACAAAATTAACCTTTGGTCTTATAACACATTGGTACCTAGTTGACCGTTCTCTGAGATTTGTTTTCATGATAATCGAATGTAAAGAGTTTTATCTCTAAAAATTGTTTAGCGTTTATGCTAGTATATGGGGAATAACATGGCTCAAAATAGCCCCACACTAACACAGTAACAGTCGAACCACGAACGACGTGCCAAGTGAGCTGAACTGTATGAACGGCGTTCGTGGTTCGACTGGTCAAGATTGTTTTCCAAGATGGCTGCTGCCTGTATACACGAAGTTTACTGTCTTTATAAAATATCTTTTTAAACGGTCTGTACACTTACAAAGTTCTCAATGCTTTGTTTTGCATGTAGGGAGCCTCATTATGTTACTGTGTTAGTGTGGGGCTATTATATACTAGCGTTTTACACTAAACAGTTTTTAGAGATAAAACTCTTTACATTCGATTATCATGAAAACAAATCTCAGAGAACGGTCGACTAGGTACCAATGTGTAATTAGACCAAAGGTTCATTTTGCACCGGAGTTCTCCTTTAAAAAAAAATTGAACTACTTACTATCACACTAGTACCTAAAGTTTAAACTTACTGACCCCAAACTTTCAAATGGTTGTGTATCTGTTATAAAGTAAATATTAATAAGCTCATCTAAAAGGGTTAAAAGGATACATCTAAATGTTTAAAATTCTGTCTTCTGCTGAACACAAAAGAAGATATTTTGGAGAGTAACAGCTGATGGGCCCCATTGCCTTTTATACTATGGAAGAAGAAAAAAAAACTAGGCCCATCAACTTCTTAAACAAGTAAATGAAAACCGAATTTTCCTTTTCGGGTGAACTGTCCCTTTAAGACAGAACTGTAATTGAAAGGTTGGCTGTTGACACACTAGTTCATTTGAAAGTGTAATTTACCTGCATGCACTCGTTGGCCCTCATCCTGAAAACCTCTGGCTCCTTCTTTAGCTTCCAGGGGTATTTGTGGCTCAGCGGCTTCGTCTTCTGTAGTCTCAGAGTCTACAAAGAAACAAAGCATTAAGTAAAAAAAAACAAAAAAACACCTGTAATGATAACGTACATCAAACCGAGCAAATAAAATCATATTATGACTAGGGCTGTAAAACTATTAATCGCATCGAAAATAAAAGTTTGTGTTTACATAATATATGTGGGTGCACTGTATATAATTATTTTATATATATACACACACACATGCTTGTATATATTTAAGAAATATTTTTATGTATATACTGTACATAGATTTGTATATAATTTATATTATATATAATTTTTTTTTATTAAATATGCACATGCACGTTTGTGTATTTATAAATATATAAAATAATTATACACAGTGCACCCACATATATACATATATATATATATATATATATATATATATAATTATATATTAACACAAACTTTTATTTTGGATGTGATTAATCGCGATTAATCATTTGACAGCCCTAATTATGACCTTTTGAGTAAACTATTTTTTACTTTCTTTGAGGAAAAGTGTATCACTTGAGTAAAAAAAAAAAAAAAAAAAAAAAAAAAAAAAGCAAATCGCCACATAGTGATATTAATAAGTAGAAATGTGTTTGAATTAGAAGCATCGTGGGGAACAAGGGGATGAACCACTTCATTGAGCCCAAAGATGAAAACAAACATTACCATAACTTTGCTTCCGACAGGAGCGGAAAACTTCGCTTCCATAGTGGCAGAGGAAAGAAGCAGACAAGACATCACCATTACTATAGAGACGAATCCCATCCCAGTAAACAGATAAGACAGCTACAAATTACTGAATGGACACATTTGCACCATTTATTTTGTCCTGGTTGACTCGTACTTGCTGCTCAACATCACTGCCATCTGCTTTTGTTTTGTTTTCTGCGTATAAATCACTTGAGCTTGTAAGGATGGTCAAACAGGTCAATCAAAATACAAAGTCTTAGTTAAAGAAAGTCTCTGCACATTCAATTAAATAATTCAATTTTCAATTATGTTGGATTGTGGGCTCAATCCTGCCACAAATTTGTGAAATGAGCAGCAAATGCCTTAAGTTGCTAATCAAATATTTGATTTCAGACAGGATAAATGGGTTTGAGCCTTTAAATACACATTTTTCAATAATAAATGCATTACATTGTTAAGCCAGTTAATTTTGAATTATAATCCATTTTAAATGAGTTCAACACTAATTTAGTTGCACAGATGGCACTGTGGTGCTATGCATGTATTTCTAAAAATTAAGGATTATCAGAAAGATTTTAATCCACGAGGTTCAATGTTTTCGAAAATGTTTTCATGGAGCCTGATCTTAAATGGAGAATGCATTAAAGAGTGTAATCCACATTAATTCTGCCTGTCTAATTAATTTTTAAAGCATAGTTTCAATTTAAAGATGTTTTATAGGGAGCCATGTCTAAAATCCCATCACATCGGTGCAAAAGTGTCAGCAGGTCCTATAAATTGCTTCAATGATAAGCACAGCTAAGCTTTTTGCATTATTAATGCTGAGATTATAGTGCCTTTGTACATAAGGTGAACAGATTCATTGTCAGGCTCCTCTTTATCAGTGCGAGCAGACAGACAATTCCAGAAAAAGTCAAATCCAAGCACACAAACACAACACTAAATGATAACTGGGGTTCACAGACATATTACTCCTATTTTATTGTCTCTTAACTAGGTGCCGGTGCGTCATAGAGTTAATTTTAAAATATTGTTGTTTGGTTTCAAATCCATAAATGGTATTGCACCCTCTTACACTGTAAACAAATATTTTCAACATTTTTTCTTTTGTCAAATCAACTTAAATAATTTATTTAGTTCAGATAACTTATTATTTTGAGTTTCTGATGATTAAATTAATCTCCTTCATTGTATTAACTCACTTTTTCCAGTTAAGGCAACCAGGTTACTTAATTTTTTAAGTTAAACCAACAATATTTCTTTTACAGTGTACATATCTGAACTTTTAACTTTAAACTACAGTCTACAGTCCACAAGCAGTTATAATCTGTCCCAGCAACATTCACGATTTAAGTCGAGAGGGGATTGTGCTTTCGTAGTTGTCCGTCCTATGCTATGGAAAAGTCTCCCCTTATCCTTGAGATCCCTGTCCTATTTACGTGAGTTTAAATTTAAGCTAAAGTTTGATCTTTTATTTCACCAAATCTCGAAATGGTTTATTTTGCTACTTCTTTCATGTTTCCTGGACTTTTACCTTGTAAAAGAGGTCAACTTCTGTTGTGTTTATTTGTGCTATATAAATGAAATGAAATGAATGGCATCTTCACTAATAATCAAAAACACAATGATTTATTACAAATCACAACAGGAACACAAATTTCCACAAATTTGACAATTCCTAAAGATGTATACAGTCAGTCCTTAAAACTGAGGATGCTTTACGTATAGGCTATCAGCAGCATTGGGGAGATGTTTTCAGAGTGTGCAGACTGATATAAAAGCAAACTAAATTATTTTATAATTATCATGAATATGAATGATATCCCCATTAGCAGTAATTTATAACAAACACTTATCTGATAGGTAATGGGAGCAGTGCAGCATCAGAGGTACTTTATTCTCAATTTAGGGCACACACTTTAGAGATCATATTTGTCTGAACTGAGCACTTCCTCTGATGTAGGTCCTCAAGGTGTCTCTGAAGAGGGTCTTGATACAGAGATTGATTACAATTACATCTTCAAAAGGATCCTAGATCCTTACCTCAGAGTATCAAGTGATAGGAATCCTAAATCTTAATGACTTATCATCAATCTCAGAAGCCACAGAGACTTGGACTTTATTTCTATGGCACTTCTAAGTTAGAAACACATTTTTCAAGTACTCGATGCAGACGCAAATTCTTACAATACAATTAATAGAAGGCCAAATTAAATCTGTTGGATGAAAATTTACTAAACCACTCAATTGATATGGATTAATTTAACAATCTCTTAATGGAAGTGGTAGTTGCATAGACTGTCAATGGAGGGACAGAAATTTTTCTATTTGTTTGAACGAATGTCTTACGGGTTATTTAATGAATGAATTTTCATGTTTGGGCGAATTAACCCTTTAACTAAAACTTCAACGAAAATTTTAAATGTTGGCTTGGCAAATAACTGAAAGTACTAAAACTTTTTAAACATTTTTTTTTTACTTTTGAATTTTGTTTTAATTGCAATTCAGTAAAGTCCTCTATATTTCATTCCAATCAAATTTCCAATAAAACGTTTTGTGTGGCACCACCAGTTCAACTTGCATTCACGCTCATGACTTCAATTCTTCAGTTTGAATTTCTCCCATGTCTGCTAGCAGAGGCATATATTGCAAGATTATCTGCACTCTCTTTCAAATTGCAGAGGGCAAAATATAATCAATGCATCCTCGATTTTAAACAAAGACCCGACATTAGATGACTGACAGACTCTGAAGAGTTATCATAAAATCTCTCTTGTAATAACCTGATATCTATAAAGCCAAACACACCATGAGTGAACCTCCCAAATGTTCGGTTAGAGTGTCCGGTTTTCTGGAAAGAGAAAGAGAGAAGAGCTATTTTAGTGGTTGCACAGAATGCTTCAAATATGATCGTCACTTCAAATGAGCAAAAAAAACAAATATTTCAAACAGCACACCAGCAGATATCCCCAAAGCTGACTAACAAGAGCTCCTTTGAAACGAGACGCCTGTGCTACTTGTCGGCCTTCAAAAAAAAAAAAAAAAAACATGTCCGTCTTTGCTCTGTTAACCTAGATATTAATTCATATGTAGGGCATTTGGTGACTGAGAGGCTAAAAAAAATGAGCTAGTATCTTTTGCCAATCCCTGCGTTGGTGTGGCCGCATGTCACCTTGCATTAAACACATCTGAGACAAGTATGAAAGCATCCAGCACATCTAAAATGGGCTATACGAAATGGTTGATTCTTGTTCTGTTACAAACTGTTATTCCAAGCTTTCGAGCAACATACTGGAGGCATGTAATTTCTTTGTCCATTTCTTAACAAATTCATCTTGTTTAGTGAGAAATGTGATTCTTAGCTTTTCAGTATCGCTTCCAATCCAACTATGTTCACAATGGATGAACGTAAATTGAAGAAACACAGAGGACGCATCGGGCAGCGGCTGTCTGTCACTCCCAATCCATTAGTTACAGGGAGAAATGAAATCCTAATGGCTGATGCACCAGTAATTTCAAACCCTTCTTCTGTGAATCTGTTTCCTAACCGCATTAGCTAAGGACGGCGGCCATCCGTTTCAGAGACTGGTGCCTGGAGCTTTGCGGGGTTGGTGAAGGGGAAAGGCAAATAAAAGTGGATGAACTTTTAGAGGAATAACAAGCTGGTTGTTTTAATTCATATGCCTATGCTCAGCGCTTTCTGCTTGTAAAGAAAACATTTACAAGGCATTAAAACATCTGAATAATTCATAGGTGAAGATGGATTCATGAGCATGTGATGCTGGTTAGTTTGTCATTAGCCTCCATGTTTAGCATCTTAATGGACGAAAAGGCTGGTTCCACTCCACCGCACAAGTGTCATACATTATGCAAAAGATTTGAATTGTTCTATTGCCTTGATTAGTCAAAACACAACAGCCAAAGAAATGCATTTGATGATCAATTCACACATAGTATGAGTGCCGTTTTTATTTACATGCATTTCTCAACTGAAACTCTTAGGGGAAAATGCACATTTTCTATTGAATGCAACATTATATTTATACACTCACCTAGAGGGTTATTAGGAACACCTGTTCAATTTCTCATTAATTAAATTATCAAATCAATGACATGATAGTTGCTTCAATGCATTTAGGCGTGTGATCCTGGTCAAGACAATCTCCTGAACTCCAAACTGAATGTCAGAATGGGAAAGAAAGGTGATTTAAGCAACTTTTAGCGTGAAATGGTTGTTGGTGGCAGACGGGCCGGTCTGAGTATTTCACAATCTGCTCAGTTACTGGGATTTTCACGCAGAACCATTTCTAGGGTTTACAAAGAATGGTGTGAAAAGGTAAAAACGTCCAGTATGCGGCAGTCCTGTGGGCAAAAACGCCTTGTTGATGGTAGAGGTCAGAGGAGAATGGGCCGACTGATTCAAGCTGATAGAAGAGCAACTTTGACTGAAATAACCACTCGTTACAACCGAGGTATGCAGCAAAGCATTTGTGAAGCCACAACACGCACAACCTTTAGGCGGATGGGCTACAAGAGCAGAAGACCCCACCGGGTACCACTCATCTCAAATAGGAAAAAGAGGCTACATTTTGCAAGAGCTCACCAAAATTGGACAGTTGAAGACTGGAACAATGTGGCCTGGTCTGATGAGTCTCGATTTCTCTTGATGGATCCATCATGCCTTGAAATTGGTTTCTTGAACATGACAATGAGTTCACTGTACTAAAATGGCCCCCACAGTCACCAGATCTCAACCCAATAGAGCATCTTTGGGATGTGGTGGAACGGGAGCTTCGTGCCCTGGATGTGCATCCCACAAATCTCCATTAACTGCAAGATGCTATCCTATCAATATGGGCCAACATTTCTAAAGAATGCTTTCAGCACCTTGTTGAATCAATGCCACGTAGAATTAAGGCAGTTCTGAAGGAGAAAGGGGGTCAAACACACTATTTGTATGGTCTACCTAATAATCCTTTAGGTGAGTGTATATTTCCATTGGAAAATATTTGAAGAGTTCAGATGCAAAAGCCTCTAAGTGCCATTTGAAATTTTCTTCTAAAATTATCATTTTTATCAAGCTTGTTTATTTAAGTTCAGTAATTTCATTTAAATGGCAATGAAGATTACCTATTAATTATCATTTAAGTGAAATTACTGAACTTAAATATACAAGCTTGATAAAAATGACCATTCTAGAAGAAAATTTCAAATTGCATTTAGAGGCTTTTGCATCTGAACTCTTCATTTATTCTGTTTATCCAATTTTAATGTCCACTAGACAATTACACATCCAGTCAATTAGAAAAGTCATTTTTGAGGTGTCGTCGCTGTAGAACAAACAATGAAAATAACACACAAAGATTCAGGGATTTATTCTAAATCGCTAACCTCAAGTATGATGAATGATAATATGGATGAATGCCTTTGCGATCGCCACTAATTACATGAAAATCAATGAATCCACATAACAATCAATTCCCGTAATCTATACTTTAAATAGCAACTGTACAGAGAGGAGACTCTGAGGTTGACATGATGTTTGAGCTTTGGTTCTCTGTCTGTCCTATGATGGTCTGAAAACTGCTACAAGAACAGAGGGCCCTTCAAGCTTCAATTACATTTTCGAAACTGACACTTATCCAAAATGACCTGCCAAATGCACACGGACTCCTTTGATTGTGAGCAGGCCACTGAGGGAGGATCTTCAGCCAGCCATCTGTGCTGTGAAGAGCTGAGGCAGAAGTAAACACGGACTCAAGCGGTCAACGGTTGACATTCAGTGACCATGTTGTATGACAACATCAAGAACGGCTACAAAAAAAGACAGAGCACCGCAACCTATTATTTTTTTATGAGTATGTAATCCAATTAAAATGAAATGGACTATCCATAACAAGATGATAAAAAATACAAATAACAAAATTAACATTGCTTATTAGCATTTTCTTCTTCAGCAAGATATTTTTAGAGCTAAATTTGTATATTTTCTGAAGAAACTGAGATTGTCCAAGCAAATTTTTGTTTTGTTTTTTCAATGCAATAATTCAATTACTAAGATCTTAGGAAATATTTTAATGCATTAAGTGGTTGCTAGGGTCTTTTGGATGGTTGCAAGGATGTTCTAAATATCCCATAACGATGCTGCCTTCGACGATATCTTCTTTTGGACAAAGTCGCATATATTTTTCTCATAGTGACGGCAATTCTAGAACAAGGTCAATGAAAATATTATTCCCGGATGGCGGACATAGGGGTAATAAGGCTTATTTTTCTTTCACAACAGAACAATATTGACAAAAACAGTTAAATCTACCCTAAAGTTCATTACACTAATCTCAATGAAAAATCCACGATAGTGGATAATGCGGGAGAATTGTCAATTATCACTTTAATACTTAAATTACTACTGAACAATATTGATGATAAAATGGTTAAATCCACCAAAAATAAACAAGTTTACCTTTTCTGTCTGCTCAGAAAAGTATTATATTAGCAACAAGCTTTCTAAATCCCATTGAAACTTTAAGTAGACAACTCTTAAGGTTTCAGAATGGAGATATAAAATGTTTAAAAATATGATAGTCATTAGTTGTCACCAAAACACCCTAAACTGTGGCTGCTTTTGTTATCTTTTTCTATCCACTCTATGTGTCCAGACAAAAACCACTAAGCCCCGTTGGTCAGCACCTTGGAGAGCTCAAATTATTATTCTTGTCAGCCCACACCACAGGCATTCACACTGGATGAATCAAACCTCTCTGGGCAACCGTTGTTTGGATAATTTTTTTCCTTCTTGGTCATCAGGTAATTTGTATGTTGCCAGGTTAGGCACACTGAGGTGAGATGAATGCTGCCAGGCACTATTTAATCTGGGTTGCGGTATCTCCTTTCTGCTCTAACTCCATTCTTTCAGCTCTGAGGCAGTAGGCTATTTCAATCTCACCTGGTCTGACTTTTCATTACTCTTGCCAATGCAGCAAGTGAATCACTTCACACCTTAAAGAAACACAGCTCTCTCAGCTACCCGTTGGGGTTCCTTAATGCTTGTGAGTCAGAAAGAACCATGGGAGCTTACGTGATTCATGACCTCGTCTGCACTGCCAACTTGTTGTATGGCAAATGCATTGATATTACTCAAACGTTCTGGTTCAAAATTTGTTCTAAACTTCAAAAACCATCTCACTAAAAATGTCAGCCATGTTAATCAGAGGTCTTACATATGGTCATGGCCATGGTCAATTTCTACAAGTAACAAGGTCAGAAAAACAACAACTTTTAGCTTGACACTGGCGCAGTACCCTCAATGGTGTACATTTGTGCCTTATTCACAGTATTCACTTAAGTACTGATTATTAACTAACTACCTGTACTTAGTATTGGGTTAGCGTTAGGTTTTTCACACTTTCAAGTGGAATATAAGACAAAAAATTCAAGATATAAAGATCATTTAACAAAAAATAACCATCAGCAACTGGTCGTCTTTCTGTTCATATACTAAATTTTGATTTATCTTGTCTTCCCAGCATACATTTAATCATTTATAGCCACCATATCTGAAAACAAATGCAACTGCCTTGCTGCCTCTCTATCCAGTCAGTCAATTTACAGACAGCATTTTTGTATGAAGGCACCATTTAAGAAAACTGAGGCAAAACGCCATGTCTAATGGTCTAGAAAAAATTCAAATGGGCTTTAGAGCAAAAAAAAAGCCAATATTTAAGTGACTAAAATGCTTATTTCTTGAAATATAATCGCTAAATTGACATTTTTCGCACCATTAGACATCATTTTTATTCTTTCCACCAAGCGCCAAACCGGTTGCCCATGATAGAGAGATATCAGTAAGGAAGTATACATCAGTATATATATATTTTTTAAATGTGTCAAAAAGATTATGCAAACACTGGATTCAAATATCTCCGTACACCGCCTGCAAAAGCAGACCTTTTCAAATTTTGGAAACAGACTGTATGTTGAATCTGTAATGTGCAGCACACAGCACTCAAGATGTCTGCTGAGTGTCATAATGATGGCAAAGTGTTAAAAAAAAACTAACACCTACAGTAAGCTTCTTTAGCTGCCTCGCAAGCATTGGTATATGATTCAGGAAATGTGAATCTAGTTATCTTTAGTTCTATAAGCATCAATGGGATATGCTACAGTATCTCCCTAAAACACATCCAATGAAGGAATGAACTAATTACATATAATTCACATGACATGATAGAATTTAGCCTACATCTGAAACTATGACTCAGACACCTGTTCGGTATCTGTCTGGTCTCTAAGCTAGATCTCTGCCCCATCCACCCGCTTGTCTCCGTCTGCCGACTAAGATCCAATTATCTTTTTCTTTTACCCATCCCCCTCTCCTCTCCTTCACACCCACTTTTCCTTTCATCTTCACAAGGATTCAGCTTGAGAGGAAGCTGTAAGAGCTCGTCCTGCTCTCACCTCCTCTCACCAGTAAAATGTCACAATGACATATTGTCTAAAGGAGAGTACTCTTATGCAATTACATCCAATGGCAAAGTGATGGTGTGCAGATTGCTCTTTTTCACTTATATGGCCATCCAGGGAGAGGGGACAAGGTTCGCATTTTGACCTTACACTGACAGTATACGAAGCAAACACCACAAATAACTGATCATTTCTAAGCCAAACAACTCTAAATATTAGTAAATTTGGCTATTTAAAAGGATAGTTCACCCAAAAACAAACAAAAAAAAAAAAACCTGTCATTATGTACCCACCCTAATGTTGTTCAAAACTGTATGCATTTCATTTTGTACAGAATACAAAGAACACTGGACCCCAATGACTGTTATTGTCTGGACTCATATGGACTTTTGTGTTGCATTATTGAAATCACATGAGGATTAACCTGATGGACAATTACGTTACAGAATATCATAGAGATTTGAGGTGGTGAGCTCTTTTGACCTGGACCAGTAAGTAGCCCCTATAGCAACCACCTAGCAACACACTAAAAGCACCTTAGCAACCACACTGCAATGCCTCGGGAGTAGAATTTCTGGAGCGCATTAATAACCTACTATTGTGATTCTGTTTAGCTGCAGTATTTACTGAATGTAGTAAATATTTTTTAAAAAGTAGATATGCATGTAATCATTTTAGTTTTGATGCAACAATCTCCCTGTTAATGCAGAGAAGTGTGAGGTAGTCAAATTTACGATCCCACAGATCCCTAGAAATGGCCATCAGGGGAAAATCAGTTGCTGCTACAAGCATTTCTGTTTTATTGCTCTTGGACAAGAAAACAAGCATGCTGACTTGCCATATTTCTTCTGTACTGGCGCAAAATTGAACAATATGACTCATGACATAATCAATGCTGGTTCCATTATAAACATTTTCTATTATAAACAATATCTTGGATTTCCGACCCACTGAGAACACCTTAAAAAAAAGACAGCAAAGTACCCAGGAGGCGGTCATCTTAGTCTGGTTCCTAGCGTAACCCAGAATGCATCAGGATACGATAGAGTTTAATGAGTCGTAGACGTTCAGCTATTCAGCTGTAATCATCCATACGCAATTAGCCAGATGGGTGTCATTTGTTTACAAGAAAAGGGTGGGGCGCAGGAGTCGAATAAGCGCTAACATCCTTAAAGGAGGGAATTGGGTCAAGTCTCCCTCAGACGGAGCCCACTGAATGACAAAACCCCACACATATGGGTCAAACTCAAACTCCCAGTCAGTTATGAGTCAACATGCAAGGCAAGACAAATCAGGCATGCAACAACTCACCTGAAAGCGTTTCTTGGACCAGATTTTCTTCATGGCTTGGAGTAATCCTGGTCTTTTGTTGCGTGTAAGCGAGGTGGGAGTGACGTTCTCTGGGAGCTGGGAATTCACGGTCAGACCCGGTGGTGCCCCGATCGTATTGGTAGCATGATCTGAATCCAGCTTGGACCGCTGAAAAAAGCCACTCAAGAAAGGAAACGTACCTAATTGACTGGTACTTCACCTGCTGTAATTTCTTTGAGAACAAAAGTTCTTTCTCAAAAACTTGATTTTTCTGAGCATGCTCCCTAAAATCTCAATTTTGTATTTTAAAGTTGTTCCTCTCCAGGTATTGCGCTGTCGTTCTTTCAGTTTAGGCAGCAGCTCGAACTAATACCAGGATAAAATAAAATAAAACATTTGAGAAAAATGAACCTCAGTAGACAGCACCCCCTCAGTGCTTCAGGATTCCCAGTGGCAAATAATCAGAGCTTGCTCTAAAGCATCGTGTTCGACCAATAAGAGCGCAGAATAATAAGCCCAGCCAGCAGCAGCGAGCAAAATATTGTGTGTGTGCGTGGAGAGGTAAGCAGAGAGCGAGCGAGCAAGAGAGAGAAAACACTAGCCTGTGCCGTTTTGGGGGAAGGGAGGGGAGAAGACAAAAAGAGAGAGAGAGGAAAGAAAAAAAGAGACCGAATGAGTAAGAGAGAAACAATGAGTCAGTCCTATCGAGTCTTGCACTGAGGGATGCCAGTTGGCAAATCCGTTTTCATGTCCCGTTTTGCTTTTTCTCCCCTTTTCTCCCCCTCACTTTTCTCGTTCTGTTGTGCACCGAGGCTGAACGCATCTCTCCTGCCCAGCAGCAGAAGCGGTCGGGAGTCTCCTCACCCACTGCCTTCGTTTTATATTCAGGATCAATGTCCGTGACGTCAGAGCAGCCTCCAGTCGATGATGCCTTTTTGCAACCCACCACTGGCACATTTTAAAAATAATTTTAACATTTTTGTTTCCTCACCTTTTTTTTACCCCCAAGGTACCGGTGGGTGGCATGAACGAAATCTTATAAAAACTACTAGGGATGCGGCAAAATGAAAATTCTGGACCAATTTTGTTTGGAAATGCCAACCAACGCAAAATCTGCTTCTTCTTGAGACTAAAGCTGCGTTCACATGACTTTGTCACTGCAGGTCGCCAGTGGCTGCGTTGGAGGGCGTTCCCACTACTGGTTGCCTAGTAATGTTTGTGAGTGACATTCACAGGTGTTACTCTATGTTAGACAACAAATACGTTTTATTGCCGCTACAAACAAATATTTTGGAAGGAAAAGTCTAAATATAAATGGAATCAGTACATAAAATGCATAATATTGAAGATGAACGAGAAACAGTGAGTGCTCTTTGCCATCGCGGCTATTTAACTGCAGCAAACGGGCAAATACCGGTCTATCTGGGTTCCCGAAACCATTCAGTCACGGAGTCAGTACGGTGAACACCACTGTATGTACACGGTGATATATGATCCATTATAGGACAGTTTCTGACTGATAAAATGAGCTTCTCGTTCAACTTGCCTTGGTCATACTCAACACTGAAGAGTGACGCGCTACACTGACTTCACTCCTATTGGTTGTCGCTCGCGAAAATCGCTCTTTATTTGCAAAAAGTTAAAAATTTCTCAACTTTGTCGCGTCGTCAGACACGCCCCATCCAGTGGCCAACGGTCGACATTGACATTGAAAATGAATGGTATCGTGTCACTTGGTAGCGTGTAGTGAGAACGCAGCTTAAAGCTGCGATCACTTTTGTGCATATTTTCACCGGCAATATCCAGTCATTTTAATAGGAATCCACACATTTGGCTGAGTAACGATTTCAATACCTTTTTAGGCACCAACCGAATTGCCTCGATATCATCGGGCATCAAAAAAATGTCTTATCGTTCGGTAACAAATTTCTGTATCTTGAATCTCGTCAATAAACGTGCAGCATGATTGGCTGTGGCGAGGCATCAAGGAAAAACACTAGTTTACGGCGGTTACGCCCAGAGACGTGAGTCACAGGTGAGGCTGGAGTGTGTAAGCGTCCCAATCTCCATAGAAGTGGAACATATCAAAAGTGTGGCTACATTTCACCATGCCAAGAGTGCGCAATGCAATATTTGAGACTAGATAACAAATCTGATGAAGCACTTGACAGTGCACAGAATAAACTTAATAAACCGAATAAGCAGAAAGTTGCTCCATCTTCGACTGCAAGAAGAACTGGAGCCCGTCACAAATTAACCGGAACTAAGACAACTTGCTAACTACTTGCTAAGGCTACTTAAGCCTAGTTCACACTACGTGATTTTAAGCCCGATTTAAGCCCGATTTGCAAATCGTTGAGTCGCCGACAAGTCAGGGTGTTATCGCGTGCAAATCGCGGGCGATTAGCGGACGATTAACGCTCGCCAATCCGTTAGTGTGAAAGCCAACAACGCATCAAAGACAGCTCGCAGACACCTCGCAGACAGGTCACCGAGCTCAGAAAAATATCTAGCATGCTAGATATCCCGAGCAGTCGCGCGACTCAATCTCAGTGATGTCATGAGTACAGCCAATCATAGCAACGCATGGGTTGAGGACACCAGGTAAATCTTACTTTTTCTTTTTTGCATTTTTTTTTCTCAGAGCAGATCGTCGAGCAAACAGTGTGCAGCACTAGTTTCTGTCTGACGTCCATATTCGCGTGTTGTGTTCTTCTCTGCAGTTTCGCGTCATTTCTGGTTCGTTTTATTGCGTGGTTTTTCGTTACAAAACATGGTTTCTAGACCAGATAGAATCGTGTTGTTGTCAACTCGTTATTTGTTTGATTATTTTCAGGATTTAGACCGTACTATAGTACTGAAACAGCTCTCATTGAGTCACAAATGATATGCTCTTATCATCCGATCGTGGTTGTATCTCTATGTAGTGCGTTGTTAACTCGTGTAGTGAGTTACCTCCTGTTGTGGATCAATCACGTTGTGTTGTGTGGTGTGAACAGCTAAACAACTTGAACACTCATGATTTCACTGAGAGCAAGTCATGTAGTGTGAACTGCACAGTTCAGCCCGACATTTTAAAATCATGTAGTGTGAACTAGGCATTAGGAAAACAACTGAAATAAGCTACTAGCCTCACAGACATGATAAATAGGTGTGCCATAGAAAGCTTGAAATGTCTAAATTAACCAATTTGAATTGAATACAAATACTCTCTGATAATGGAATCCAAATGAAAGATGCATTTCTCTCTATTATGCGCAAGTTCACTATAATGCGAAGATGACGAGTCAGCAACGTCAACTTCATCTTTGCAACAAACACTGAATCAGAAAACACTATTTTATTAAAAAAACAATTAAAAATACTCCTTGCTATATCTTCAAATTTTCAGGTAATGTGTAATGTAATCGTAAAATGGATTTAAATAAAATTGGTATTGAAAAAAGTATCATTCAGGAACCGGTATCGAAGTCAAGGTATCATATCGGTATCAAAAAATGTTTAAAGGGGTCATGAAGTGGCTTTTTAAATTTTATTATATTGTTGTCGGAGGTCAACTTATGACGTTCGCTTGGTTTTTGCAGTCAAAAACATCAAAATGAATAAGTAATAGGCTATTTTCTACCCTAGTTTTGGGTCTAGCTAAAAAACGCTCTGTTTTTATGGGCGTCTCGCACTGAAGACTTGGAAGTAAACACCCACTGCTGTGAGTGGATAACAGTTTTGCATGTTATAATGAGTTTCAACTCACCCGTCGATGCACTTGGGGAAAATTGTTCTGAAAATGTCCAATGTTGTAAAATAGCAACCGGAATGATTCCCCCATACATGTTCGACCCAGAGTCCGTGTTGCACAATTCCCGTCAGATCCAATATAGACGGCACAGCACCGTTCTTTACTCTTAATCGGTCTGCAAATCGAGTCTTGTTTACAAAACCATCCTCAGTTTATCCATGCAGTCCTATTGGAATCCATAGGAAGCTTATGCAGCGACTGTCTTCTTCCACAACCAGGCACTGCACAATATTTTGTATTGCTCGGTAGCTCGATCCGGTTTGTCATCACAAGGTAGGCATCTATGTCATTAGCTATGCGTGTAATGCGCGAACCGGTGGGCGGGGCTAAACCGGCCGTGTTGAAGTAGGCGATGATCTTCTTCTGCGGGGGTGGTGTTTTATCCTCTTTTTTATACACTTACATTTTACACTGGCATAGATACTGGCATGCTAGCCTATTAGCACATCTCTATGCAAACTTACCCTTCACTCTTTACTAAATAAATTCAATAAATATAGATCAGCACCTTACAAAGCAACTCAGTCCTGATCATCCACATTTTGTCATTCCTCTGACCTGAAATGTCATAAAGCAGACCTTCCAACTGATAGCTGCAGGAATATATCGACCACGGTATAAATGATATATCAGTATGCATACTGTTGCATAGTGTATCGTCATGCAGCAGAGCCCTAGCTCAAGATGTCTAATCATCCCCCTCTCATTTCCCTCTGCAATAGTAGTTCAAATTATGTATTTAAGTTTATTAAAAGGTTTATTAGAATTTGCATCCCTTGGACAGAAATCAAATATCTTTAATGAGAAGACTGAGGCAATCATGTGCAGCTTTAGATTTGCATAATGAAATTATGAATTATAGAGTCTCGCACCTGCAATGTTAGCAAAGGGGGTGAGGGAGGCACATTGATTTTGAGCAGTTTAATTTCACGAAAGCACACAATCCATAAATGTACTACCAATATAGCAGGTAGCAAACCTCATGTCGTACAACAAAAACACGCTCAAAAAGACACTGAGAAACAGATCGTGGTCTATGTGGCCATTTAAATGGATTGACATTTTTCAAAGCCAAAGTGCTCTCAAGCCGAAGCCTGGCGAGGCAGAACATCAAGGGGGTTGTGAGAGAGCCAGACACCCGACAAATTCCTTTATTCGTTCTCATTAGCAGTCACTGGTTGTGTTTATAATGACCCAGGTGGACGGTTGCCTTCATTCATTTCTGTTGTGTTGTCCACACCTGGGTCCTTTTATTCTAATGCATTGCATGTTGAGCTAACATGCATAGAATTACAAACAGACGACTGAGAAGAGAATATGGTGCACAAAAACACGATCTGAAACGCAAGTATCAAATGGGAAACGCAAGTAACTTTGTGGGCAGAGATCGGGCGCTGTTTCTATTATAACGACTCTTGCGCCTGACGCAAATCTAAATTGGGTTGGTCTGAAGTAGCTACATTACTCATAGGTGAGGTTTGGGCGTAACCTGAAACAAACCAATCAGAGCATCATATCACATTCCCTTTAAAAGCAGGCACGCTTGTTCCGTGGCGGATTGCTATTATAATGGCGGATTTGCCAGGCGCACACCAGGAGCGGTTCACAGCTGAGGAGACAGACGTTCTCGTCAGGGACATAAAAGACAGAGAAGTGACGTTGTATGGGGATGGGTCGATGGGAGAAACCCAAATTAGCTTCGGTTAAACAGGCATATAATAATTTGGGTAAATGTGTAAACTAGATTTATGCCTATTTTTTCACATCTTCATGGACACCACAATGATTTCTCTTGTGTGGTAATATTTTTCCTTGTAATTATGTATGGTTTGCAAAAATGGGAACTTCTGCATCTGTGTATGAGAGAAGCAAAGTGTATGCGCGTTGTGTACACGCTACATTATGGGCAAGCAAGCGCCCTTAAAATAGCATCTGAATAACCAACCCGATCTCACGGGAATTCGTACGAATTTTACGAGGTGGCTAATTCGTAACAATTTGTACGACCTCATTCGTACGAATTAGTACGATTTAGCT